ATTTTACCTGAGATCTGGGCACAGGTGGAGCATGAGCACCATCTATCGGCTGACTGGAAGACTGCCCCCCCCCCCCGGAGGGCACAGGAGCCTCCGAGGGATGCCCAAGGGACCCATGTCGTCCAGGGTGGGGAACCTCAGGCCTGGGAGCCCAGTCCAAACTTCATGCAGCCTTTGGGACCCTCCCTAGTTTCTGCCAACCCGGACACCCCCCTCCCCAGGCCACGTCAATAACCAGTCGGGCCACAGTCTCTCCCACATTGTGCACCACGCTCTGTTTGGCAGACTTCAGGGTTCTTGGTTGTTGTTTTTAACGCACTCCTGCAAGCTTTAAATCTTCCAGATGTTGACAACCTAATTGGTCAGCTGGCAGCGAAGACTGCAGTGGGGAAAGAGCGGCACCTTGTGGTGGTGAGAAGCAATTGCTTCCAAGGATCTGCACGCCCCAAGAAATCTGTCTGTATAAGGCAGCAACATAGGAAAGCTGCCTTATACGGAGTCAGACCATTGGTCCATCTTGCCCAGGGCTGCCTACACTGACTGGCAGCTCTCCAGGGGTCCGGGGTAGGGTTCCCTGACCTGGAGATGCCAGAAACCTGGGATGTTCTGCTTGCAAGGCATACACTCTTGCCACTGAGCTACGGCGGTCCTTTGCTGCATACTCTTTTCAACAGCTCGGCTGTGGGTTAAACCACAGAGCCTAAGGCTTGCCGATCAGAAGGTCGGTGGTTCGAATCCCCGCGACGGGGTGAGCTCCCGTTGCTCGGTCCCTGCTCCTGCCAACCTAGCAGTTCAAAAGCACACCAGTGCAAGTAGATAAATAGGTACCGCTCTGGCAGGAAGGTAAACGGCGTTTCCGTGCGCTGCTCTGGTTCGCCAGAAGCGGCTTAGTCATGCTGGCCACATGTACACCGGCTCCCTCGGCCAGTAAAGTGAGATTTGCGCCGCAACCCCAGAGTCGGCCACAACCGGACCTAATGGTCAGGGGTCCCTTTACCTTTACCTTTTCAACAGCTGCTAAAACATCTTTGCTTGGACAAACCTTCCCTGACATTGAGAACACTGATGTGTGCTTTAATCTGTTTTCAGTTTATTGCCAATTTGAATTTTTGGAATGCTTTAGCCGTTTTGGCTGATAAATTGTTTTCTTCCTTTTGCAAACTGCTTTGAGGGTTTCCACGCAGTGTATAGATTTGACAAAAGGAGGAAATAAAATGAAAATGAGGTGCAACTCACCCCCCCCCACATTTAGGAGTTTTACCTCCCCCTGGGAGGCTCACCTGGTGCCCACGCCAATGTTGTTACAGCACCAGGCAAAGGTCTTTAATTCCCCCCCCCCCTCCCTTGAGCTGGTCTATTTGTTGCTGCGTTTCAGTCTGCTCTTTTGATAGTTTCTGCTTGAAGATTTGGCAGCAAACCACCCTCATTTGTGCCTGCTCCAGGTTAGGGATTTAAGACACTCGTGCTTCTTACATAGATAAAAGGTAAAGGGACCCCTGACCATTAGGTCCAGTCGTGACCAACTCTGGGGTTGCGGCGCTCATCTCGCTTTACTGGCCGAGGGAGCCGGCGTACAGCTTCCGGGTCATGTGGCCAGCATGACTAAGCCGCTTCTGGCGAACCAGAGCAGCGCACAGAAACGCCGTTGACCTTCCCGTCGGAGTGGTACCTATTTATCTACTTGCACTGGCGTGCTTTCGAACTGCTAGGTGGGCAGGAGCAGGGACCGAGCAACAGGAGCTCACTCCGTCGCGGGGATTCGAACTGCCGACCTTCTGATCGGCAAGTCCTAGGCTCTGTGGTTTAACCCACAGCGCCACCCGCATCCCTAGCATGCTGATAAATGCCAAGGTTGCAGGTTTGATCCCCATATGAAACAGCTGCATATTCCTGCATTGCAAGGAGCTGAACTAGACAACCCTCAGATTACCTTCCAACTATTATGATTCTAAAGAAGGAAGATTGAGAAGTTAAATGTCATGTAACCACTCTCTGCCTTCCGCTGTAAATGTCTTTCCACCTCGCTTGGTCAAGCAAGTTCAAAGATCGGTAACACACACAGCTTCCTTGTAAAGTCCAACAACTCTGTCCTGAAACATGCTGGACTTCTCTCTCCCAATTGGGTGACTCTCCCTGACTCCAGTGACGGATTTACGTATAAGCTAAACAAGCTATAGCTTAGGGGCCCCCTCTCTTGGGGGCCCTCAAAAAATTTAAAGGGGGAAAAACGGGATGTACATTTCCAAAATAATAATAATAATAATAATTTATTTATACCCCACCCATCTGACTGGGTTTCACCAGCCTCTCTGGGCGGCTTCCAACAGAACATTAAAATACAATAACCTATTAAACATTAAAAGCTTCCCTAAACAGGGCTGCCTTCAGATGTCTTCTAAAAGTCTGGTAGTTGTTGTTCTCTTTGACATCTGGTGGGAGGGCGTTCCACAGGGCGGGTGCCACCACCGAGAAGGCCCTCTGCCTGGTTCCCTGTAACTTGGCTTCTCGATAAAAACAAATAAAATAAAACCTACATACAGCAACCGTGTTTTGTGTTGTGTAGGCTCCTATGATGTAAGTCATGGGCCCCGCCTGCTAGCCTGCTCCCTAAACTATCACTGGTTTGCTCATTTCTATATATAGGGTGCCTACATAAAATATGAATCTTATGATAAAATACATATTTTGTTATGTGCAAATGGCTTGAGATACCTATTAGGTCCATAAATTACCATATAGCATATATTCAACATAAAAAATAGCGGCAATTTGTTGTTGACGAAGGACAGCTGGACATATCAAGGGCCCCATTACCTTCAGGAGCTGAGGGCCTCATTAAACCGAAATCTGGCCCTGCCTCCCCCTGACACCTTTTAAGATCCTGACCTGTAAGGGTGACTCATCTGTGGTCCTCCAGATGTTCTTGAGAGTTGAGAGTCCCATCAGCCCCGGGTAGCATGGTGAATGATTATGGGAGCTGTGACTCTCCTGATGTAGAGAGACTACAATTCAGTCATCTCAGGGCTCCGCTAATGCCAAATGGCAAGATTTAGAAGCCTTGTCTTTAATAATAATAATAATAATAGTAATAATAATTTTATTTATATCCCGCCCATCTGGCTGGGTTTCCCCAGCCACTCTGGGCAGCTTCCAACAAAATATTAAAAATACAATGAAACATCAGACATTAAAAACTTCCCTAAACAGGCCACCTTCAGATGTCTTCTAAAAGTCAGATAGTTGTTTATTTCCTTGACGTCTGATGGGAGGGTGTTCCACAGGGCGGGTGCCACCACCGAGAAGGCCCTCTGCCTGGTTCCCTGCAACCTCAATTCTCACAGGGAGGGAACCGCCAGAAGGCCCTTGGAGGACCCCAGGGTCCGGGCAGAATGATGGGGGTGGAGACGCTCCTTCAGGTATACTGGGCCGAGGCCATTTAGGGCTTTAAAGGTCAGCACCAACACTTTGAATTGTGCTTGGAAACGTCCTGGGAGCCAATGTAGGTCTTTCAGGACCGGTGTTATGTGGTCTTGGCGGCCGCTCCCAGTCACCAGTCTAGCTGCCACATTCTGGATTAGTTGTAGTTTCCAAGTCACCTTCAAAGGCAGCCCCACATAGAACGCATTGCAGTAGTCCAAGTGGGAGATAACCAGAGCATGCACCACTCTGGGGAGACAGCCTGCGGGCAGGGAGGGTCTCATCCTGTGTACCAGATGGAGCTGGTAAACAGCTGCCCTGGACACAGAACTGACCTGTGCCTCCATGGACAGCTGTGAGTCCAGAATGACTCCCAGGCTGCACACCTGGTCCTTCAGGGGCAGAGTTTCCCCATTCAGGGCACCCAGAAGATCCCACTTAGCAACCCCTTCACCTTCAGCACAAGTTCTCAGGCAGCTGGCAATGGCAGAGACTTCTTTCTTCCTGAAGCGCAGGACAGTTGCTGCAGACAGAGTAGACAACATGGGGCTAGATGGGACAAGCAGCCTGATCACATGTAAGTCATCTTCCTGTGCTCCTTCCTGAGGTCGTGCCTCTTCAGGCAGGTGGCGCAAGATCTAGGAAAGCACGCAGAGCCAAAAACAACAAAGAAGGGTAGTGCATTGCCCTTCCAGTAGGAAGCAAAGGTCTCTGCAGAAAACACAGTTGTTCTTGAAAGAAGGTGCATGTTTCCTGCGATCGGAGCCTAAGGAGTGTGAAGGCAGGAGGACTGAGTATTTGAAAAAGCAAACCAACCAGAAGGGACGGCAGGTGTGGCTTCAAATGGTCATTCAAACCGAATGCCATCCAGATTATTTTAGACTGCAACCAATCCTGGTCCTGCTGTACTAGCTGCCAGTGAATTTCCGGCCCCAGTTCAAAATGCTGGTTTGGATCTATAAAGTCCTATGTGGCTCAGGATCCTTGTACCCCAGGGACTGCCTCTCCACACAGGAACCAACCCAGATCCTGCCATTGTCATCAGAGTCCTCCTCCATGAGAGGCCTAGGTGGTGACCTGGCACGAACAGACCTTCTCAGTGGTGGCTCCGAGCTTATGGAATGACTTCCCCAAGGGAGACTGGGCTGGCACCATCAATGCATATCTTGGGCACCAGGCAAAAACTATATTCATCAGGCCTTTTGGCTTTTAACTGAGGCCTTTTTGCATGGGCAGGATGTTTTTTTATGCAGTTTTAAAAATTGTCTTTTAGACATTTTTTGTGGTGGTTTAACGTGTGTATGTAAGTCGCTTTGAGTTACCATGGCAAAAACCAAATTTTTTTGTTGATCAACGATGACAACCACCCACATCAGCCCAGGCTAGCAAAGCGGACGCTGAGCTGCTGTTCCAGTGATTTTGAGATATCATTTTGTTGAGCATTGAGCTAGGCTCAACTCTTAAGAATTCCAGCACTGCAATTTTCCCACATCATCCCCTGAGCTAGCGCCCTGCCAGTTCCCATCTGTGACCATAACAAGTAACAATTTGTTGTTTTTTTGAAGTGGTCACTTACATATTGGGCTGGGATAGTTCGGTCTGTAAAGCATGAGACTCTTAATCTCAGGGACGTCGGATCAAACCCCATGTCGGGCAAAAGATTCCTGCGAACCTTGTAGCCCCTTTCAACTCTGCAATTCTAGGATTCTACATTCTTCAAAAGAAAAAACAGTGGGGGGCAATGAAAGTTCTGTGCTGGCAACTTGGGAATCAATATACAAAAATCCATTCATCGTCTTCACCATCCCATTTCCCCAAACCGTTTCCTCCACATTGCCCTGCTGCCTCCTTTTGTAAGGTCACAGGCAAAGCTGGCGCAAATGTGGACTTGTCACAAAAAGTACACCCAACCCACCGATCGGGACCTCATTTTAGGGGATGCGTATATCAGCACTGTATATCGAGTTAGGAGAGAATAGGTGCCACAGAATCAGAAAGTGGTTTGGGGGGGGGAGAGGGAGAGATGCAATTTATTCCAAATTTTTAAAAGCCCTACGAAGCGTCGGCGGCAGCAGCAGTGACCCACACCCCCAGTATATATATCTCTCTCTCTCTCCTGGGGCAATTACCAGTCGAGGGGCCAAGGTATATACATATTTTATTTTTTAAAAAAGTTTACAGTTTCTTTAATTATACACAACTATTTTGAGAGGTTATAATTCTTAGAAGAGGCGATTGCCGTGGCGCCAGGCATGCCCACTAACATCATCACAATGCAAAGAGGATGGGGGGGGCGGGGGGTATAAGAGAGGAAGCGGAAATGAAAACGGGGGGTGGGGGACAAACCAGCCAAAAAAAACCCCCTAAGGGAAAAAAAATCAAGGACTCGAATGGAAGGGGCTGGAGGCCCAGCTTACCTCTTCAAGTATTCACACAATATGTACCAAACACAGTCAGTAAAAGAAAAAGGAGGGAAGGAAAATGGCCATTTCTCATGCGGCAAGAGACTTCTGGCTCCAAGGTGCCACAGCAACTCAGACGAGCGAAAGGAAGCGAGCGAGCGAGAAAATATTATATATATATTTATATAAAACCAGCGCACGCTCAGATCACAGGAGTCGCCTTCGGACACTCCACACGTTTAACTACTTTATCTGTTCCAGATCTAGCTAGCATGGACCCTTCCCCAAGAGGATAAAAGCTTCACCCCCTCCCCTACGAACCCCCTTTTCTTTGTGGAAGTTCCCACCCGCTGCCCCAAAGGTAGGAAAATATCAACCGACCACACAAGCCGGGGAGCTTTGGGGTTTTTCTACAAGCTGACCTAGCCAACGAAAAGCTCCAGGGCCATTTGCTTTCGCCACCGGCCGTCACCTGGGTAAAACCCTGCGCCACTCTGATCCATGCTGCTCTCTGCCTCTGTTTCCCAGGTCCCCTCTCTCTTATATCAAGCACAAGATGGTGTAGCAAGAACAACTAACAGAAGGTTGACAGGTGGACTTGGGAGACCGGCACGGTGAGCAGAGTGGGATAAAAACTGTGCTTCGGCAGTACGTCTCTGTGGGTGATTTAAGAGGCATTTTGAGGAAGAGGAGCAGGTCAAACACCAAGGTCGATGTGGGAGGTTTCGTCTACCGGTGCCGAAACACTCAAAAAGCACAACAGACTTTTACGGGTGGGGAGGGAGAAGGGCAATAGCCGGTGCAAGCACTTTGAGATCCCATCAGAGTGTGTTCACGTTAACAAGGAAACTCACAACAAACACACACAGCTTTGCAGCTTCCCAGGGGCGGCTGCGTTGGGAGTTGGGTCTGAAGCCTGAAAGGTGGTTTTCAAAAGGAACGCGGGCGTTTCGGAAGGGACGGCAAGGGGACTGGCGACTGGAAGTGGCCTTTCCATCTGGGTCTGGCTGAGAGCGGAGCAGCTCTGCGAGCAAAGGGGATCTGGACAGGCCGAAAAGAGAGAGGGGGACAGAAGGAACTGCGCTTAAATCAGTGGTACCAGAGGAGAAGGGAGCCTGGTCTAGTTAACTCATAAGGTCGGTCCTCACAAATTCATCTTTCCAGGTGGATCCCATTCCACTAAGGGCGTTTTGCCAGCCTTCCCTGACACCCGGAAAGTAAATGCAGAAGAAGAGATCTTTGCAACTGCAACGCACAAACAAGGGGTCCGATCAAACAGGAATTGCGAAAATGGGTCTTTTGCACCCCAGGGGCAAAGTGTGTGGATGTTGGGAGGGGGTATAGAGGAGAGTCGGTGCTGCCTTTTCTTGGGGTGGGTGGGATTCCATTTAACACGGACCATGTCTGCATTTGGAACCGCTTCCGTGCGTTCAATTTAAAAGCCAGGACTGTTGAAATCAAGAACGGGTGTTTGCTTAGGAGAAAAGAGCTGTGTACATCAGAGTTGTTAAAAACTGTGCACCAGGATTGAGATTCTTTTTTTTTCCCCCCAAGGAAAAAGTTACCTGCGTAAAGTAAAGGGAATTAGAACACTAATATTTGTATATACAATATTGAAAAAATACAATTTATTTCGTTTAAATTGGTACCACCATCACCACTGCCACCTCAGCACTCAAAATCTATACCTAAATAGCACCTAAGAGGCCACCACACAAGCAGAGGGCATCTCTAAGGCCAACTTCGCCAACTTTGTGCCCTCCGCAGGTTGCTGGGACTACAACTCCCATGAGCCTCAGCCAGCACGCTGGCGGGGGCTGATGGGAATTGTAGTCCATCAACCTCTGGAAGGCACGAGGTTGGTGAAGGCGGGTCTCAGGAGCCCTGCAGCAGTAACAGAGCTCTCCCCACGCTCCTCCAGAGTCAAGGAAATGGCACAGAGTTACATGTTCCATATTAATACTAACCCGCCTGCCCCCCCAAACAAGCCATACTTGCTTAAAGGAGAGAACTTCAGCTCAGCTACTATAACCACATTACTGTTTTTTTTTTTTTTTAATTTAGAAAGAAAGAAAGAAAATAAAAGGTTCATGGTTGTTGTTGGTTTTTTTTTCTTCATGCCCGTAATTCAACTTCTTGGTATGCTTTTGCTTTATTAAAGGAAAATGATCATGCCAAAGTTAAATTCTACTTTACATAAGATCTTTTCAAAAGGGGTGGGGGGAAAGCAAACTGATTAGGCTTTAAGATTGTACTCTCTCGACGCGTCTTCCCCTCGCACCCCAGAACAATCCGCAAAATTCTGACGGCGTTTCAGGGGAATCTGGGAAGGAAATACAACGGACTGGGCTTAGCTTGATATTCAGAATTCTGCTCAAATTCAAATTCCGTTTACTGCCCCCACCCCGCCCCACCCACAGACATTGCACCAAAACTGCCCTCCCCACATCCTGTCCAAAAGGAAAAAGAAAAAAAAACTCTTTACAAATACATCAGAGGTAATGTCCAGATTGCAAAATCCACATCTTGCCGGGCGTTTTCCTTGCCGTTATCCATGTTCAAGTAACATCAGCATCCCAGGTAGGCATTCAACGTATGAGGGGGGTTCTCTTACCATTCCATTTTTGGGGGAGGGGGGACGGGGTGGAGGGGAAGAGAGAAGGAACATTTGTGTGTTCAAAACACGCCCAAGAAATGAAAAGGGAGGAAGAATCTAATTCGGAAGAAAATCTCTGAAACCAGCACTCTTATTATCAATTCCCCTTCCAAAACAACAAAAAACCAGACCCACTTCCTAAGCCCATTATATTGGATTTTCCTAGATTGTCTGGCCTGCTTTATAGAAGGGCCACAAGTGAGCAAAGGAAGGAAGGAACTAGCAAACTTGGGAGACCACCGATGGAGGTCGTGATCAGCGGCAACTCAGGTGGGGTGGGGGGCAATGAAACTGTCCATGGGCTTGCAGCGCTCTTGACAAATCCGACTTGTAAGAAGACCTCTCCGGAGAAGGTCATGGGCACAGTGCTTGAAGAGACATCAATGAGTGGAATAATCACAACTGCCAGTGGTTTTAACAGCGGGGCCAAAAATGGATTGGGTGTGACGCGCTCCAGGAAAGCTAAGCCAAAGTTGGACTCTGCTTGCTTTCTGTCCCTTAAGAGTAGTAACAGCGACAGAGGCAGATGGACACCGGGGATCCAGACCAGTAAAGTTGACTTTTGACTGTCCAGTCGCAGGTTTTCAAAAGGTCCCCCAAGCAAACCGGACCAATCGCCAGTCTCTAGCGGCAGGGCAGGAAGTCCACGCAAAATGTTCTTTAAGCCAAAGAAAGGCGCCTTTGTCAGAACCACTTCGAAGAACTCGGCGTATTCTGGCGACGGTGTTTCGTTTCTTAAAAATGCAACTCCGTTTAAAGTGTAAAGCGGCCGAGCTGAGTCGAAAGGGCACCTTTTCGACTTCACTGCCTCTCGCGTTTATCCCCCGATATTTCTCTCCGACGTTCTGCAAGCGCTGCTCGGCTTTTGCATCTGAGGGTGTCCTGCCATCTTTGGAACCATTAATAATAATAATAATAATAATAATAAAAGTGGGGGCCAGGGAGGAAAAAAAAGGGAACATCCAGACCCTCTCCCTAGCAAAGCAGCTGTATTTTTGTGTTTTGTTTTTTAGGTTGACAGTTCAGTAGCCCACAAGTTGCCCTTGCTCAAATGGAATTATAAACGGATGCCTCGCATGCATCTGGGCTGCGTATTGCTACCAAGTGGAATGTGGGAAATGCGCTACGATGCACTTTTGGGCTCTGAGAAATGACCAAAAGAAATCAAGATCTAAAGGGTGATATATATATATGTATATATATCTCAATGCTATTATTCATAAAAACCTTGTTTAGTAATAAAAAATTGCTTTGTTTAAATATGAATATTATAGTCTGCTTCTCAGCGCGTGGTTAGGAAGTCAGTCTCTCTGAAAAGCAGGGTGCTGCTTCTACTACAACTCCATATCCTGGGCCTCGTCCTCTGAAAAGTCAGACATGGAGCTCTCCGAAGAGCTGTCCCCAGTGCCTTCTTCCTGCTCTTTTAGCGCTTCCTCTGTTGCATATTTCTGAATGTATTCTGGATGGGGTGAAAGAGAAAGGTGGGGGCAGGGGAAGAAAAAGAGGGACGATCAACATACACACTAAAGGAACACCCTGAGGTCCCTCAAAACAACATGGCCAGGCAGACCACAAACTGCTTCTGGACACCTTAATGTGCTTTTTCGACATGCCTGCACGTGCCCGCCCACCAAAATGACCCCCAGATTTCAGCAAGGACAACCCCTTGCTCAAACATTAGTACTTGTCTGAAAAATCTTTAAAAGCAAGAATTTAAGAAATTATAATAATAATAAAAAACAGTCAACATTTGCACCTGTGATAATCTTGCCCATTTTTCATGTGCTTTTGTGCCTTCCAGTGTACCGTATTTTTCACTCTATAAGACGCACTTTTCCCCTCCTAAAAAGGGGGAATGTGTGTGCATCTTATGGAGTGAATGCAGGCGGGAGGCTCTGCTCAGTGCTCCCTTTAAAGAGCACCGTGGAGCGTGTGTGCGGCTCTTGGGGGCTTTTCCCCGAGGAAGGAGAAGGGCTGCGCGGCTCTTGGGGGAGCCTTCATCCTGCTGCCCCGAAGAGGCTTCGCGCGGCTATCCCAGAAGCCAGATCCCTCTTGCTGTTCTGGCTTCTGGAATTCAGAATATTTTATTTACTGCAGTTATAACCCCACCTTCCTCTCCAAAGAGATCCTGTAACTGGTTCTCCCCCTCCTTATTTGACCCCAACCACAACCCTGTGAGGTAGGGTTAGCGCCCATCGGTTCTCAACCTGCGGGTCCCCAGATGTTGTTGGACTACAACTCCCATCATCCCTGAGCTCTGGCCTTGCTAGTTAGGGGTGATGGGAGTAGTAGTTCAACAACATCTGGGGACCCACAGGTTGAGAAAGGCTGGGTTAGGCTTAAGGGCAGTGCCTGGCCCCCCAAGCGAACTTTGTGGCAGAGTGGGGATTTCAACCCTGGTCTCTCAGGTCCTAGTCCGATGCCCTAACCAGTACACCACCACTGGCGTAAGACAGCTGGGACTCTCATGACGTGCTCGGCTTGGGAACGCATCTCTGTGCAAAACACAGAAAAGTCCTGAAGCTGGAGGGGGTGGGAAGAGCGAGGAAAGGCTCAGCAGAGCACGCCGTAAATGGATGGAGAGGGTAGAAACCTTCAAAACTGTAGGGAGGTGCAGAAACACGTTTCTGAATTATTTCTAAAGCACATGCGTGTTCTGGGTACTGGACATCAAACAGGGCAGAAGGCAGAGATTGCAAGCCTGAGGGGAGGGGCCTAAGACAGACCAAGAGACACAAGGACTGGGGAGAGGAGGGGGGCAGAAGAGATAGTGGAATGAGACCAGTTAGCGGGAAAACGACAGAGTCAAGACATGAGTTTTTTAAAGCCTGGTGTCTAACTATAAAAATGGGAGGATGGATTCCAGGAAGTTAGGAGCACCAATGGTGGGGGAGCAGCAGGACAGGTGGGGAGCAGACAGGGGAGCTCCCAGAAAATCAGTATTCCGTGTTTTGTTTTACACAGGAGAGCATTCAGAAAAGTGGCACACACCCTCCTCCTGAGCTCTGAAGTGGTACAGTCCACCGGTTCCCTCTGTGTCAAGTAATCTAGCAGGGCTCTCTGCGTGTTCTCAGTGCGCTGGGTGATGCTCAGAACTAGCCGCTGGGTGCAAATCTCCTAGGACAGCTCCATTCATCGCCTCAGACTCTCAAATATGCCTTTTGGTGTGTGTCAGAACAACCCACAGCCCGTATCCCTTCTTAAAAAAAGCCATTCAGCAAGAAAGGGCTTCCAGTTTCAGGAAGCTGAACCAATTACTATATAGCCCAGGAAGGATGTGTGTTACGAAGCTCCATGTTAAGAAAAGATGCTCAGCGGCCTGTGGGTGTCGTATCTACGCAAACAAGGCCTAAATCTCACAGCCTGCCTCTCAGTGCTGGTGGGACAAAAGCTCACTCTGCACCCGAGAGAGACCCGGGAGGAGGAACGGCTACTAAAGATTGCTGCCTGCTTCTCCAAAATGTGGCCCAGCTGTGTCAGAATTCGTCTGAGCAGGCCTAAGCGCAATTGCCTCTCTCTAGAGAACTGGAGAAGGCAACCGTCACAGAAGTACTTGCCACTGACCATCTACTGCTGCGACCAGTTAAGAGGCAGGTTTCCTGAATTCTAGCTCCAACACATTGTGGGCTGATTTCTCTAAGCCAACGGGGCCTTGCGGTCCCTCCCCCAGGGGTACACCAGAATGACTTCTACGGCTCCGTCAGTTAAAAAGGGAAGACGAGATAAATTATGCATTTACAGAACCTTGTCTCCCAGCGCAGAGGAGCTGCTGCAACTCAAGGCATCAGCGCGGAGGCTATTTTTAAGCGCCACTGTTGCCAGAAAGCTCTTTGCATCATGTCAGTGCCTGAGCAACTCCCAACTTGTAGCTGCCTGCCTGGCACGCAACTGGGGTGTGTGGGGAGAGGTGTGGCAGGGCATCCCAGGTCTACCAGCCGATGTCATGCATAGCAAAGCTAAAACAAGGGATATTTTCATAGTGGCGGTGATGATGGGGAGTGGCTGTGGAAGTCCCAGATTGATTTTGATGTTGCATACTCAGTGGTGTAGCAGGGAAAAGGACACAACTGTCCATTAGTTCTTTCTCTCACCAGTCTTACACACATCTTGGGTTGGGGGAAATTCTTCTCTCTCCCCTAGCTAGTGTAGTGGAAGTTATAGCACCCTTTTGATAGCCTACAACCTGTCAAAGGTAAAGGTAAAGGACCCCTGACAGTTAAGTCCAGTAGTGAATGACTCTGGGGTTGCAGCACTCATCTCGCTTTACTGGCCGAGGGAGCCGGCGTTTGTCTGCAGACAGTTTTTCCGGGTCATGTGGCCAGCATGACTAAGCCGCTTCTGGTGAAACCAGAGCAGCACATGGAAACGGCGTTTACCTTCCTGCCGGAGTGATACCTATTTATCTACTTGCACTTTGATGTGCTTTCGAACTGCTAGGTTGGCAGGAGCAGGGAATGAGCAACAGGAGCTCACCCCGTTGCGGGGATTCGAACCGACGACCTTTCAATCGGCAAGCCCATGGCTCAGTAGTTTACACCACAGCGCCACCCGCGTCCCACAACCTACAACCTGTAAAAACCATCAAAGGGAGTGTGAAAGGATATCCTTGGAAGAATCTGCTTGTTCATGCTCTATTACGAATGTGTCAAGGAGGTTTGTGCGGGGAAAACCCCAGCCTTGAGCTAGCCTGAGATAAAGTAGGCTCCCTGTTATTCGCACTGAACTGAGCATTCAGCTCAATCCAGGCCTACTCTGCCTCTGAGACTGTGACTTACCGCATTTTTCGCTCTATAAGACGCACTTCCCCCTCCTAAAAAGTAAGGGGAAATGTGTGTGCGTCTTATGGAGCGAATAAAGGCGGGAGGCTCTGCTCAGAGCTCCCTTTAAAGAGCCACGTGGAGCGTGTGTGCGGCTCTTGGGGGCTTTTCCCCGAGGAGGGAGGACCGCCCTTCTCCCTCCTCGGGGAAAAGCCCCCAAGACCCGCACACACACTCCGTGCACTCTTTAAAGGGAGCGCGGCTCTTGGGGGAGCCTTAGCCGCACGCAGCCTCTCCCGGGCAGGGGATGAAGGCTCCCCTTGCCCGCGAGAGGCTGCATGCGGCTATCCCATAAGCCCGGACAGCAAGCTTGCTGTCCTAGCTTATGGGATTCAGACCCCCCCCCCGCCCCCGTTTTCCTCTTCCAAAAACTAGGTGTGTCTTATGGTCTGGTGCGTCTTATAGAGTGAAAAATTCCTACACATGTGCAAAGCTAAGGTGAGGGAATGCCTTTCTATAAGACCATGCAATTTATAGGCCTGTTGTTGGCATCTGTCTTGTCTCGAGAGACAAGGGAGTGCACCTCTGAGGATGAAGTCAAACCACTGCATCAGCAGCACTGAAGTGATCTCTCCCAGGAGCAAGCCTGGTTAGCGTGTGTGGAGGTCCTGGGCTGCAATGACGACAAGACCCCACTCCCCAAGCCTCACTGATGTGGTCCAAAGGAAAGCAGAGGAAGGCGTTTGGCACCAGCTGGGCTGCAGGAGTTGCTGGAAGGAGTTGTGCTAAGATCTCCCCTTTCGTAGGTTCTCCAGCGGCCACTGTTATTTATTTATTTATTGAATTGAATTGATTGATTTGCTACGACTAAATAAAGTTGCTTTAAACATCACTGTGGTGTGGTTACACAAGAAATCCACTACGCTAGACACCGGTTCACCAAACCGAAGCTTGCTTGTTGCCCTGTTTTGCTTGTTTCGTAACTGAGCAAGCCTCCTTTCCCCAAAATAAGGCCTGGTGATTTCCCCCTTTCCATTTAAGGCTAGCTGGCCTCTCCCAAGTGAGACGGACACCTCAGTTAGACGTTGCTTCCCTTCACCTGGGAGGTTAGCAACTGGCTTGCCAAAGCCGCAGCATAAGCAAGACAACACACGAGTTCTTCAGACCCAAATGCTCTCCACGACAAAGTTCCGAGACAGGCTGCTAATGGTTTCTCGCGCTTCGAAAGCCCTTACCTTTAATTTTCTGTTTGTATTCTTCTGGTCGGTGAAGGTACATGGCTGCCGCGTCACCATTAAGGGGATCTATGGGGTTGGGATACGCCAGCAACTGGGGCAGGAAGGACTCAAATATATTGGTAAGATCTGAAAATCATCAACACAAAAAGGATTTGACATGTAACGCCTGATGCTGGCCTTCCAAAGAGCCATTTGCCATGATCTCTACTACCACTACAACATCTATTCGACGAAAGCGGCTATGCCCCCACCTCACAGGACTTACCATTCCAGTAAGAGGGAACCAGTAAGATGGCCCTGCTCACCCAGACAGCCGGCTAGCTGATCTTATCTATCGATCAATCTATTATTTCCTGCCTTCCTTTCAAGGAGTTCAGTATGGTGAACATGCATCTCCATATTATCCTCACACAACAACCTTGTGAGGTAGGTTAGGCTGAGGGTTGGTGACTGGCCACCCAGCGAGCTTCAAGGCTGAGTAGGGATTTGCTCATCCTTTGTACGTGGGGGAAGTAAATGCTCACTCTTTTAAAACTATCCTATTGCTAGAGTACCGCTTGTGAAGGTCTGCATGTCAGCTGAATTCGTTTAACACAATTTTAATGAATGTTAATGAATATGCCAACTCTGTTTTGGTACTACAGAAGTAACTGAAGTAATCTTCGTTGTCCTTGAGAGCATTAACCCCTGGGATGCCAAATTCTAGAGCGTGCTATGCTCAAGGTTAAAGAGGTCCTAAAATGGGTGCCAGCGTTGCAAGGGGGCGGGGACTCTTGCAATCTGCACACTTCAAAGCACATGTGCAAGACTGTGCTCTCAGACAACAAGCTAAAATATGTGCGCGCGCACATCCACCCCTTGTATAGTACAAAACCACCGAGGCCATACATTTCTTAACTCACCATAGAGAGCTGTCCAAGTCTGATTAATTACATCTAGACATACAGTTCCTGACCTGAAAGAGACAAACAAGGGTTGACTTCCATTTGCAGTTAGGCAGTGCTGGTCTGGTACAGCGGCTACACAAGTTCAGATCTTCAGTTCCCTATTAACACCCAGTACGTTTCACGAAAGTGGAAGCGGGCAAAAAAAGCAGACTGGAATCTACAGGAAGACCTTTGGGAGACTGGAAAAGTTTATGGCACCCAATGGTTTACCTAGTTCACTTCCCCAAAATTAAGTTGCTGAAACACAGAAAGGGTGTGTGTGTGTGTGTGTGTGTGAGAGAGAGAGAGAGAGAGAGAGAGAGAAGAAGAAGAAGAAGAAGAAGAAAAGAAAAAAGAAAGACGTAGGACTTGAAATATGAGCAACAGCGTTAATTATTAAGATAAATAGGTTAAAATGGATGTATTGAATAGTTTACGTGAAATTACGCAGCATTCAAGGGTAAATATGGTAACCATGGAAGGGGAGGATGGGAAGACAACGGATAAAGTAATTTATGGTCTATGTTAAAATCTGTAAAGGGTTTGTTTTTTTTGGGGGGGGTGAAAAATCAAGAAAGAAGAAGGAAAGAAGGAAAGAAGGAAAGAAGGAAGGAAGGAAGGAAGGAAGGAAGGAAGGAAAATTCAGGAGTAGATTTTTTGTGTAAAAAGACAGCTCACTTCTGGTACTGAAAAGAGTCCCAGGGCTGAGCAGGTGCTGTTATTGCCTCTGGCTCCAGTTGGTAGACTTTGATCCTGCAAGCTGGAAGCCTGCCCACAGGTAGGCTAGAGCATTTGACCCAGTCTTAACCAAGAGGGCCCCCAAAGCCACAGTTTACATGGATTACATATAAATGCCTATCCACACAGACTGATAAATCCAGACAATATGAACTTGGGTTACCATTTTAAGCCATAGCGCTTAATCTTCCATTTAGCCCTGCAGGGCACAGGGTTTAGCCAAAATTGTGCCCGGACTGAGCAACCTGCCTGATGCTGGAACCCTAAATTGAGTCTCAAGAATCTTCTAAAACATTAAGGAGCTCCCCAGTAGATAACAGAAAATGGAAAGGGTTCTCTAAGGGCAGGGTGTCTGAAAACTTGCATAAGCCCCTGACTTCTTGCCTTATCCTCAACAGAGAGGGTGAATAAATTGGTCTTCACCATCTTTCCTTCTTTTTTTTAAAAAATATCTTAACTCATCACATATCCATTCTCTTCCCCTTCCTGAATTAGAAAAGAAGCTATGCACTGAGGTTAAGAGATAACCCTCCCCCCTAAATAATTTTGTTTAGTACAAAACATCTTCAATCACTTACGCTTCGTCAATATTGGGATGGAAAATTTTATTCATGAATCCTGCAATGGAGACAAACAAAAGAGATGTTAGCCACCTTTATCACCGTTACCTTTTATTTACTTAAGAAAACTTATATAGGATTGTAGTGAAGCCTCTAAGTGGTTTACAAGAAACATTAAAATGATCAATAAAAAAAGTTGAAAACACTGAAAAGTAATTAAAATTAACTGTTGAAAAAAAAGATCAAAACAAATCAACATCTACATTTCCGGACAGGCTTGCCTAAATGAAAGTATTTTAAGGAATGTTGTTGTGCTGAACAACTAAAAAAATGGCATGCATGTCCCTAGTTTTGTTCTGGTGAAAGCCACGGGTCCCTAAAGCAAAATGTGTTGCTCCGCTCCTGAATTCTGTCATTCACGCATGGAAAGGAAGGGTGGAGTAATCAAAAACTACAGTTTCCCATTTGAAGTTGAGCAAAACCTATTGTCAGCCAAGCACCACCAATGCAGATGGGGGCTGGCTTTGGAGACGTTGCAGACTAGAGGCGCTCAAGAAATCAGAAATCACCGCATTATGTTCACTGCATCTCATAAAGCCCACCTTAACACATCACGCTGAGATGCATTGATTGGGAGTTCCCAAGGCTTATTAAGAGAGACACAATTCACTGATTTGCGCTTCCCAGAACCTTAGTAGCTGCCCCTGTCTGAAGCCCAAAAATAGCTGCAGGCTCAGCATCTGTATCCATTTCCATGAAAACCATTAGGTAAAGGTAAAGGTACCCCTGACCATCAGGTCCAGTCGTGACTGACTCCGGGGTTGTGGCGCTCATCTCGCTTTACTGGCTGAGGGAGCCGGCGTACAGCTTCCGGGTCATGTGGCCAGCAGGACTAAGCCGCTTCTGGCGAACCAGAGCAGCGCACGGAAACGCCGTTTACCTTCCCGCCAGAGCGGTACCTATTTATCTACTTGCACTTTGACGTGCTTTTGAACTGCTAAGTGGACAGGAACAGGGACTAAGCAACGGGAGCTCACCCCGTCGCAGGGATTCGAACCGCCGACCTTCTGATCGGCAAGTCCTAGACTCAGTGGTTTAACCCACAGCACCTGAATGCAGGTGGGCCTGCTCTATGAACTTAACTCTCCTGGGCTGCATATTTACTATGGCTATGTGCTAATCTGATGCTGATTTAACGAGAAGCCGACATGCAAGACTCAACACTTGTGCCACTGAAAGGTGCATTTGTTCCTCTGTTTTTGGAAAACTCGACCCTACGCGTCACTTCCAAATCACAGGAGCTGCTGCTGCCAAACTCTAGAATTCCTGGCTCACAAACACAGGAAAGCACCTGGGGTTTCAGAATTCTTGTCCACCTTGAACCCATGGCCTGAGGGTTATCAGACAGGGGCCATTGCCAAATCTACCACATTCCAGGCCATTTGGCAGGTGCAGAGCTCTACGTAGCAACAGAAAGCAAAAGAGCAGGATGCAGGCATCACAGGCTAGTAACCTCCCTTTACACGGGAGAGGAGGAGACTGCAGCAGTGTTGTAAGAGATGCAAACATTCAAGAGCAGAGGACTTGACTGCCACATCTTCGTTCTAGTCCTCCATCTTCTTTTAGGTAAAGGGACCCCTGACCATTAGGTCCACTCGGGGCCGACTCTGGGGTTGCGGCGCTCATCTCGCTTTATTGGCCAAGGGAGCCGGCGTACAGCTTCCGGGTCATGTGGCCAGTATGACTAAGCTGCTTCTGGCAAACCAAAGCAGCGCACGGAAACGCCGTTTACCTTCCCGCTGGAGCGGTACCTATTTATCTATTTGCACTTTGACGTTCTTTCGAACTGTTTGGTTGGCAGGATCTGGGACCGAGCAACAGGAGCTCACCCCGTCGCGGGGATTCGAACCGCCGACCTTCTGATCAGCAAGTCCTAGGCTCTATGGTTTAACCCACAGCGCCACCCGCATCCTCTTTTACCAACTCCCAATTAAGCTTGCCCTGCAACTGGTTTGCCCCTTGGGCTCTGTCCAACTCGAGTCACTATTTAGGTGAAATGTGCACACCAGCTCCCTGAATCTGTGCTTGGTCACCTAGGATCCAGTGCCAAGCAGATACTTCTTGAAGGCCTTGCAATTGGGACTTCCTGGCCTGACCCGTAACTGCCATGGCATGGGGGGGGGGGCAAGAGTCCAGCTGACTGGGTGAGCCAGAGGCAGCTGCTATACACCTCTTGGGAACTGAAGGTCAAGTTCTTCCCTGCACTGGGTTTTTTTGTTTTGGTTTGACGTCCCCTCAATCCCCATCCAGAACAGAACTCGCGAGCAACGGAACAGGGTGAGGGACATACACCCTCGCATGGAATTGTGTCGGCATTTTGCCTTGTGCTTTTGACAAGCAGGAAGACACTTTTCGGGAGTGCTGGACACGTTCTTGCCAGCCCATTCCAAAAGCCCAGCAAGCACGGCCGTTAATGTTCCAACAGCCTCATCAGATGATCAGGAGTACTGGCTGGCTGCCCTGTGACCTGCTATGAGCATCCAAGCCGTTCACCCGGTACTCTGCTTGCACATATTATTATCTTCTCCTCCCTCCACCTCAAACAGTGTTTCTGTCTCCCCACCCTACCCCCACGGATGTTGAGAGATTCTCACAGGTGGAAGACTACCCGGGCAGAAATCTAGCATGCCCCTTCCACAGCAGGCCACATACAATTGCCAGGCTGGAGGCGAGGGTGTGCTCAAGGCTTCAGGATCAGGCCCGCCTCCTTCCAGTCCTGAACTGGGTTCTTTTACTTCCTGCCTTACAAGCAACAAGGGCTGACATCCAGTCCTATGGGGAAAAGCTCTACAGCACTACAGAGGTCAGCCAAAACCTTCCCACTGCCACTGCTGGCAGTCCCCTCCAATTCAGATGCACCAGATGGAGAGAGCAGTTATTATTGCAGTATATTGTGGAACTCGCTTCTAGCTGAGGTCCCACTGAGGGCTTCCTCCCTGTTGAACTTCCGCCATTTATTCAAGACTTAAAAAATAAGAAGGCTTTTAAAACTGATTTTTGTAGAATGCTCACCCCAGGTAGACTCGCCTGGTGCCTTCATTACAAATCATTAGGTACCAGGCAAAAACATTCCTCTTCACCCAGACCTCTGGCTCATTAAACAATCTATGGCCTTTTCAACTGGGAGGAGGTTACTGCTTGTGAACATGATGTGTATTTTTGTGTTTTTATATTGTAAATTGCCATGTGATCCTCGGATGAAGGGCGACAGAGAAATTTAGTAAGTAAAAACAAGTATTCATTTTCAGTCTTGGTGCATCAGGTCTCCTGCACACCCCTTAGAGAAGACGGATTAAGCGGTATACAAACTGTTGAAATAAACAAATAATAAACAGAATTGCTAGCCCTGGCAGAAAAACAGCCCGGAGGCAGGGCACAGTTTTCTCGTCTTCTCATTGAAAATAATAATTATGAGGAACAACAGACCACCCACATCTTGTGGACATATTAGCCAGCCTTCTGAAGTCAGTATTATAACCATTATCACCACCAATTGCCAACCACAAACAATAAAAAGAAGCTGGGTTTTGTGGCGAAGCCTGGTGGGATTGTACAATTATAACTCAGTGAATATTAGAATTAAATATTTCTATTTTCACTCGCTGCTGCTGGCTGACAGGGTACCCAGCAAACAGACTCCTGTACCTGCATTATTTCCCCCGCCTTCTGCAATACGCTATGAGTATCGTTAACTAAGGTTTATAATCCAAGTACAAACCTTGGCGGAGAAGCAATCTTTAACCACGGCCCATGAACAATGGTTAAGTTGCTGGGCTCCATTCGCACATAACACCGAGCCATGGTTTAGCACATCATCCACAGTTTACACAACATACTCCTATTCTTTTCTATACGGGGTAATTCACAGAGTGTCCTCCTATTACAAAAAAATAAAATGTAAAAAGCAGCAGAAAGGCACTTTTTATCATTGATGTTTATGTCAACCATCCGGTCATGTGAATCTGGTTCTGTAAGCTACACTGAGAGCTTTTAAAGTCCAAAGGTGGGGTATAAATCCCTTGATTTAAACGCATATATATTTATATGCCCCAATCATGGATCACTGCCTTGCCGTGGCGAAGGGGCTTGAATAACTCAGAGAACCTATGAGCTATGCCGTGCAGGGCCACCCAAGATGGACAGGTCATAGTGGAGAGTTTTGACCAAACGTGATCCACCTGGAGTAGGAACCGGCAAGCCACTCCAGTATCCCTGCCAAGAAAACTCCATGGACAGGCATACAAATTTCCCAGTAGTGATGTAAGGAAGTGAGAGCTGGACTATAAAGAAGGCTGATCGCTGAAGAATGGATGCTTTTGAATTCTGGTGCTGGAGGAGACTCTTGAGAGTCCCATGGACTGCAAGAAGATCAAACCTCTCCATTCTGAAGGAAATCAGCCCTGAGTGCTCACTGGAAGGACAGATCCTGAAGCTGAGGCTCCAAGACTTTGGCCACCTCATGAGAAGAGAAGACTCCCTGGAAAAGACCCTGATGCTGGGAAAGATGGAGGGCACAAGGAGAAGGGGACGACAGAGGACGAGATGGTGGGACAGTGTTCTGGAAGCTACCAGCATGAGTTTGACTAAACTGTGGGAGGCAGTGGAAGACAGGAGTGCCTGGCGTGCTCTGGTCCAGGGGGTCACGAAGAGGCAGACACGACTAAACGACAACATATTTATATCCATTTATACGCATTTATATCCCTTGGTTACGCAGAGTGACCAAGGAGAAAAAGGTTCAGTCTTCAAGGGCTGGGATCAATCAGGGAAGGTAGCCCTCCATCCCAGGAATTCCATGGGGTGGCTGCCAAGGGGACTGCTACCCTTGGGGGGCACTGTTGTGCCAAGGGCAAAACCAGCCCTCCAGTACCAACTAGATGTTGGATCTGCGCCCACACAGAAACTGTGAAGTGTGTATGGGGTGGGAGAATGTGCGTTTGTGCAGAGGTGCACTGCACTCCCAAAGCTCTCAATGGACACCTCCACTTGACAAGCTGCCCATCACAATGACAGGCATTTGCAGCACAAACAGTAATTAGCAGCAGCAATGCCTGGGAAGCAATTAGCATCTCGTCACCACGGAGACCTGCCACCTTTTTCTGCCCGATTACCTTGGGTTCCCTCGCTGAAAAGCTGGTGGTGCCTCTCTTAATGAGGTACTGAGCAGCGCAGGCTGGTTCAGGGAGTCTAGACAGAGCCTCACGCTGCCGCCGTCCCTCTTCCCGGCCACCAGCCTCCCAACCTCCTCCGTTATCAGAGCTCTTTTGAAAAATAAATAAAAGGATCTTTTTATAGAATCCGTATGGAGGGAGAGAGAGAGAGAGAGAGGTGCTCTGGGAGGCAGGCAGGCGACTCTGCTGAGTCTCTGAGAGGTGCAAGCAGAGGCACAAAGCCAAACTTGCAGAAGGGCAAGCCGTCCTGGCAGCGAGGCTGGAGCCAGAGGCAGTCCTGCAAGGAGGCCAGTTAAGAGGCAATGGCTTCAGGCAATGAATGTGTCACACTATTGAAGGCGGTGAAGATAAGAGGGGGAGACACCTGAGCCGTGGGGACCACAATTCCCCAAGGAAGTTCTTCTACGTCACAAAGCCCCTCCGTCACCACCTGCCTTTCTGCAAAGAAGGGTGGCAACCCTGCCGCTTATATCAAAATTTCTCAAACTTGGGTATCTGACTGTTTTTTCAGACTACAGTTCCCATCATCCCTGACCACTGATTTTGCTCATTAGGGATGATGGGAGTTGTAGTCCAAAAAACCCAGCCCGAAACCCAAGTTTGGCTTGACTACCCTACGTTCTCCTACAAATGGACCTTGAGCTTATTTTGGAGGTTCTAGCAGGGGAACGCAGCTATCGTATACCCTTGACCGAAGGACGGTACACTCCTTCTGAGGGATGGTCGTCCTCTTCCACCGAGCACGCAGCTTCGGGAGGGATGGACATGGAGTGGTGAGGGAGGAAGGGGACACCCGCCTAGCCAGCCCGATCAGCCAAATCAACCCTGGCGATCAATGGGGTGACAGATGTCGCAGCCAGATCGCCCTCACATCCAAAAACATTACAAATTTAAGGATGTCCAGGATAATTCACCACACCTGTAAGAAGCGGTGGCAGAAACTTTTTAATCTATTATCATCTCCTGCCACAACTGGAACAAATAAAGCCAACTCACGAGGAGTTAAAGAGACATGCAAAGCGGGCACATCTAAGACAAAATCTAAGCGCCTATCTGAGAAAACAACTCCAAGCGTGATCAAAGAAACTATGCCATCCACGGCCATACCCCATCAGAGCCCTTCCAGGACATCTCCAAAAACCGCAGATAGAAGCGAGTCGGTGACCCTAAACATCGATGTGAATTCACTGCAGGATCGGCTAGCTTTGTGTCCAAAAAAAGGATGGAAATTGGTTCTAATTCCTCAAAAGCTTGTTTTGGCCAATTATCCAAAGCCATTGGGCCCATGTGCTGGGATGGATTGCATGAAGCACCTTCTGTCCATTTTAAATGGTATTTTATCAGGGGTGGTAAAAACATCTGACACAGTTGCCACAAGGTACTTATATCAAGACAGTCACTCGGTACGAGCTCTGATCACGTTTCTAGATCATAACCTGGCAAATTTTATTTTTAGAGCAAGAAATCTATTCAAACACGAAAGGATAGAGCTACTAAGAATTTTTGAAAACAGAGCACCAACAGCTCCCCTCGTGACTCCCAGGGGTGACAGGATGCTCAGAACAGAGGATCAAAAAGAAAAAACCCAATTTGGGAAACGCTGGTTTATAGGCATCAGCCAGGCGTGAGGACTCTGCAGCCCCACTCGATGTTAGGACTTCAAAGCCCATCAGCCACAGCAGCAAGCATGGCCAAGGGTGATGGGAGTTGTAGTCCTGAGGCTCCTCACCCCTGCTATAAACCTCCCATGGCTTTTGCCCTCTCCTCCTCAGGCACTGAATCTTGCCTGCAGCCATCGCTGCTTGGCGCCCCTCCCTTCTCTTATGAAACCCTCCAACAGGAATCCTGCATCCTTGCTCCTCATTGCCACCTCGTCCTCCTCTTGGCTGCAACACATCTGGGACCACTTCCCTGGCCTTGCCGCTCTGGAGGTTCTTGGCTCCTCTCTCTCGTCCCTAACATCTATGAGCCACAATGTCTATGTTCTACCATCACTTAGGGTGGCAAGAAGCCTCTGGATGCCAGCTGCTGGGCATCACAAATAGAAGGGGTGCAGATGTGCTCAACTTCTGCTTGGGTTGTTTGGGCTATGAGAATAGGATGCTGTACTAGATGAGTCACTGGCCTTAACCCAGCAAGGCTGTTCTTACTATCTTATTCTCTGGCCTAGCTGAACCCTCTGGCAGCTTCTCTTAACACGGGCTTTCGGCGCCAGCTGTTGCTCTGGGCGCTACTTCTCCGTGCTTCCACACGGGCTTTGCTGCTTCACACAGCGCTGCTCTCATTAAATTTTTTTTAAAAAATTGTATAGTATAGTATTTTTTTTTTGCTCAACATGGATAGATCTTTTCAAAATGAGAGCAGGAGCATCAAGTGATACTGAGGAGAATCCTAGTTGAGATCTTCTTCTTCTTGTTTTTTTAGGTAAAAGGGCCCCCTGACCACTAGGTCCAGTCGTGGCCGACTCTGGGGTTGCGGCGCTCAACTTGCTTTATTGGCCGAGGGAGCCGGCATACAGCTTCCGGGTCATGTGGCCAGAATGACTAAGCCGCTATTTCTACAGGTATGTTTTTGGAAAGCAAGAAAAGCAAAGACTACAGGTTCTTTAAAAAGCCAGACCAAGTGAATAGCAGGAAGATCAGCAGAGGGAAGTGAACCACGAATGCTCTCCCTTGGGCAATTCCTGTACTTAAACCATGGGTAGGCAAACTAAGGCCCGGGGGCTGGATCCAGCCCAATCGCCTTCTAAATCCAGTCCGCCGAAGGTCCGGGAATCAGCGTGTTTTTACATGAGTAGAATGTGTCCTTTTATTTAAAATGAATCTCTGGGTTATTTGTGGGGCCTGCCTGGTGTTTTTACATGAGCAGAATGTGTGCTTTGATTTAAAATGCATCTCTGTGTTATTTGTGGGGCATAGGAATTTGTTCTTTCCCCCCCTTCAAAATATAGTCTTATTTCAAGATAAGGTCTGATGGACAGTGAACCGGCCCCCTGCTGAAAAAGTTTGCTGACCCCTGAAAACCCACCTAAAAAGAGCAAACTGACAGTTACACACATCAATTGGTTCCCTAGCCTGCGTTTGCTAAAGTTGGTAGGGAAGCAATTCCAAAGACAGTGGAATTCCAAAGGAGGGTAACTGTGCAGGCTGCCCTTACTACAGAGCGATGTGAATCACCTCTCCATTTAGGTTGCCGAACTACCATTTGTGTTTGTTGGGAAGAACGTGGCAAGAATACTGAGATGCAGGTTCTGTCAGGAGCTAAAGGCTTGGGGACATCCTTTAGTCTCCTGCAGATGTGTGAGACATACTGAGCGGTAGGTGCCAACAACTCAGAAACTGGATGCGAGATGGGGACAGCTGAGTGGAAAATTCCCAAGATTCTGCAGAGTCACCCCTCTAAAGTGCCTGCTACACGTGTACAAAACGGCAAACATTTGAGGGAAAAGAAGAAGTTGCCCTCATTCTTGTCCAAATATTTCAAGGCTCGGATGCCCAGCTTGTTTCTAAGTGAAGTCTAGCATCCAGATCAAGGGAAGTAATAAAAGGTAAAGGGACCCCTGCCCATTAGGTCCAGTCGTGGCCGACTCTGGGGTTGTGGAGCTCATCTCGTTTTATTGGCCGAAGGAGCTGGCGTACAGCCTCCGGGTCATGTGGCCAGCAGGACTAAGCCGCTTCTGGCGAACCAGAGCAGCGCACGGAAACGCCGTTTACCTTCCTGCCGGAGCGGTACCTACTTATCTACTTGCACTTTGACGTGCTTTCGAACTGCTGGGTTGGCAGGAGCAGGGACTGAGCAACGGGAGCTCACCCCGTCGCGGGGATTCGAACCGCCGACCTTCTGATCGGCAAGCCTTAGGCTCAGTGGTTTAACCCACAGCGCCACCGGCGTCCCTTAAGGGAAGTAATAGACCCACTCTATTTTGCCTTGGTCAGACCACACCTGGAATACTGTGTCCAATTCTGGGCACCACAGTTTATGAAGGATGTTGACAAGCTGGATGGTCAGGGGTCTGGAAACCAAGCCTAACGAGGAAGAGCTGAGGGAGCTGGGGATATTTAGCCTGGAAAAGAGAAGACTGAGAGGAGCTATGAAAGCTATCTTCAAATATCCAAAGGAGGATGGAGCAAGCTTGTTTTCTCCTGCTTCAGAGAGCAGGACTCGAATCAATGGCCTCAAGTTACAAGAATGGAGATTCTGACTCAACGTCAGGAAGACCTTTCTGACAGTAAGAGCTGTTTGACAGTGGAACGGATTCCCTTGGGATGTGGTGGAATCTCCTTCCTTGGAGGTTTTTAAGCAGAGGTTGGATGGCCATCTGTCATGGACGCTTTAGCTGAGATTCCTGCATTGCAGGGGGTTGGACTAGATGTTCCTGGGGTCCCTTCCAACTCTACAATTCTATGATTCTATCTACTTGAGAGGTTAGTTCCGAGTGCTACTAAAAATCTGGCATCCGTACACATTTCCGTTCAACAAATGCAGCGCTGGGTTTCTTAACAGGCAGATGTACGGCCAGCTTTCCTGTAGCTGCACAAACTCAGCTCCACCCTAGGTGGGTTTTTCTCCCAAGTGGCGACACTTGAGTTGGCTGAGGACGCAAGCCTGGGCCCGCCCTAGAGAACGCTGTGTGTTAAGTGGGCTGACAGTAGTTGAAAAGCAAATTAGGGAAGAAGCAACGCACACTGAAAATAGAATGCAGATACACTATGCAAAGGTCTATTTTAAGTAATGAAAACAGCCACGGCCTGCTGACTCAAAGCAGGATGTTAGGCTGGAAGAGGAGGCTGCCTGTCTTGTCCAAGCGTCTTTAAGAGACGCATGACGTCTCCACACCGCTTCTCCCTCAAGCCTCTCCTGTTCCCTAGATGGAAGAGTCCTCATAAGCACCTCTGTGGCTTGACATATAAACCTACCCTTAAGTGGAAATGCAGTCACTGCTGAGTTAGCACCTCCCTTTTCAAAACTCCAGGAAAAGCATGTCGAGACTTTGCCGCAATTCACTGCTGCCTCCCAACTTCATGTTTTAAAACTGAAGTTTAGCAACAAAACCCACTGCTTGGAAACTGTCAACATGGGTTTGTCCCATACTCAAAGTTGCATCTGCAAAGAAAACAATGAAAGCAAGTCCCAGTGCTCTGTCATGCTCTAATGCAGGCATCCCCAACCTTCGGCCCTCCAGATGTTTTGGACTACAATTCCCATCATCCCTGACCACTGGCCCTGTTAGCTAGGGATCATGGGAGTTGTAGGCCGAAACATCTGGAGGGCCACAGGTTGGGGATGCCTGCTCTAATGGGACAGACCAAGACACAGAACCCAGGGTGAGAATTCGTAGATGCTCCGATGCTGTGTCACTGTGTACCGAGAGAAGATTTAGACTGTGCCCCACTTGTGTCCTTAGATGAACTCCTTTACTTTCAATACGGCGAGGAGGGTGAGCCTTCTCACTGCCTGATCACCCCTGGCTTCCAATCTGTTGTGCCCTCCTGTCCTGTAGGTGGCACCCACATATCATCATATTGCCTTCTCCCACTCAAGTACGCAAGAGCTGATGACTCATACAGGAGGTCTGGCAGTGGGGGGCACCAAGGAGGGTGGAGGAAAGCTCTCTCCCAAGTGACGGGGGGTGGAGAGAAACAACCACACTGTGCCCTGCCCTGAATTCTACGGGCTCTCCTTTTGGTCACAAGGAGGAGAAGTTTGTAGGGAAGAATAAACACGCTTTGGGAAGAGTGAGACAAACACCATATACTTTTAACACCTGTATCATTTACCACAAGGAAGCAACCCCATCCTCAGCAGGCATAGAGCCACTGAGCTTTCAACTTTGGCAATACTTAAGAAAGCCTGGTTGGGATCTGGGTGGCGCTGTGGGTTAAACCACAGAGCCTAGGACTTGCCGATCAGAAGGTCGGCGGTTCGAATCCCCGTGACGAAGTGAGCTCCCGTTGCTCGGTCCCTGCTCCTGCCAACCTAGCAGTTCGAAAGCACGTCAAAGTGCAAGTAGATAAGTAGGTACCACTCTGGCGGGAAGGTAAATGGCGTTTCCATGTGCTGCTCTGGTTCGCCAGAAGCGGCTTAGTCATGCTAGCCACATGACCCGGAAGCTGTATGCCGGCTCCCTCAGCCAATAAAGCGAGATGAGCGCCGCAACCCCAGAGTTGCCCGCGACTGGACCTAATGGTCAGGGGTCCCTTTACCTTTAAGAGAGCCTGGTTAGTCAGGGAGACAATATCTCCTGCATCCATTTGGAGAAAAAGGCATGGTTCCTAGAAATACAAGCTTCTAGTTCACAGGCCTACAGAGGTGCTTTCCCCTCTCACTGGACAATGCCATGTTCACTGTAGAAAGCCAGCTGTGCGGACTGCACATGGACTGATTGTCCTGCTTAGACGCATGGACCAGTCAACACACCTGCGCCAGTTCTGATGGTGTGTGTGTGTGTTGCAGGGACCAGTAGTGCTAAATACCACTTCCAATTTCTTAGTCCGGAGCTTCCTGGTGCTGCTCAAATGCAGAGAGGCAGGGGTGAGTAGAAGGAGTGCAGAGAGAAGATCAAAGCTCAGGGCACATCAGCTACATATATGAAGCTTGTAGTCTAGAGACCTGAGGTTCGATCTCTCAGCTCCTGGGTGGGTGGGTCCAAGCTATGGAACACCTGACCATTGTTCAGACATTGTTATCTCACCTCTTTACTTAAACAACAACAACCTTGGCAGAGTGTTATGGATAATTTGGGAGTTTCCTCTAGGAGTTAAACAAGCAAGAAAAATGGTAAACATTTGAATCCGTTACCTATAGATGGGGATTTGAAGGGGTATTTGTCAGGAAGATCCACTCTAACTTTCCACACGCCACCTTCGTACGGTGCTGCAATCAGGGAAGGAAAACGGTGTTAGCTGCACAAACACAAACTGAACAAATATCTTCAAGCATGGTTTGCATTCTTAACCGTAAAGGCACATAAAGGACTGAATGATAACCCATTTGCTTCCAATGGGGCTTTTGCAGAAGACCTTCCCAATGGCATTGTGCCTTCAGCTTTTTGGACTACCCTATATTTAATGGCCACACACACAAATACTTGGCTTTTCCAAGGGGCCTGGGTAAAAACCTAATCCAGAGCCTTGTGAATTTCTGTATTTACACAGGGTCCTCCCAAAACTCACCATCAAATGAAAGCTTACAGTGATGGACTACACAACAAAGAGCAGTTCTGGTGCTTGCTAGCGTCATAAAAATATTCATCCACAGCATGGATTCTCATGATTTTGACAAAGGATTGTGAAAGCCCAACCACCAGATCACAGAACACAACCGTGTATTCAGAGGTGACCTACGATTTGATGGTGCTTTTGAGGGGATCACTTATGAGAATCCATAAGGATCAGTGCCCCAGATCCATGATTCTTACGGTTTGGTCAGTGGAGCTAGAGGTGACCTGTGATTTGATGGGAGGTGGCAGCAGGGAACCTCTGGGGAAAACAGTATGCCATTTTAAGAGGATCCACTCTACTTGGTCCAAAGTGCGTGCAGGTGCCCCATCTCTCTTTCATCCAATTTTCTCTCCCTTCCTCAACTGTTTCCTTTTCCTCTTCCACCCAGTTTCCTTCCCTTCCCAGCGTCTGCCCGGATGCTGAGGTCCAGCTCCGAGGGCCTTCTGGAGGCTCCCTCATTGCGAGAAGTGAGGTTACAGGGAACCAGGCAGAGGGCCTTCTCGGTGGTGGCGCCCGCCCTGTGGAACGCCCTCCCATCAGATGTCAAAGAGAAAAATAACTACCTGACATTTAGAAGACATCTGAAGGTAGCCCTGTTCAGGGAAGTTTTTAATGTGTGACATCTTAGTGTATTTTTGGTCTTTGTGGAAGCCGCGCAGAGTGGCTGGAGAAATCCAGCCAGATGGGCAGGGTACAAATAAATTATTATTATTATTATTATTATTATTATTATTATTCCCCACCATCTTCTTGGTCACTCTGCCTTCCATCCAACAGCTCTAGTGCTGACCTGAGCTTTGAAAAGTGGAGGAAAGGTATAACTCTTTCAGCTTCCTCTTCTGGTTCTGTGTACTTTTCCAAGGTGGTTGGGGAGTAAACCACCCATGCCACCTCGTGGTGACCAGGGTAGTGAGCAGGAGGCATGGGAACCTGGAGGCTTTTGTAGGTGCCAGGCAAAGTCTGGAAGGGCACCACTGCACTCACAGGTGCTAAAGTGTTAGCCCCAGCCTCACAGTAAGACAGGACATATTTCATGAGAGGCACAGGGGATGGGCATTTTTGTAAAAAAGAAACAGGGGAAAAACCAAAAACCCACCCAAACACCTTCCTTTCTTCTCAGTGGTACGCTTTCCTGGCAAATCAACAAATTATGTAGTAAGTGCTTAAAAAAACCAACAGCTTAAGTATCACAAATGGTGGGGAATATTTGCATACTTACTTCCTTGTGGTCCATAGAACTTCACTACAAATTCGTTGAGTCCTCCTAGGATGGTGACTTCATGTTTACTTTCAATACTAAATGCATGCAAGTCAAGGAAACGTTTGTCATGTGCGCGAGGCTTATCAAACTCTCGAGAACCCTGGCACCCCAGGAACAGCAGATTGTTAGAATTCCTTTACCGGCAAATCTGAAATAATCCTCTCATAAATGAAGCCTGTTCAAAATACGTCTGAGGCCGTTTGCCGTGGTTTAAGCAGACCCAAAGTACCTGGCCAGACAACACAGGTGAAACAGAGTTCAGGCTATAAAGGCTTGAAACCCGTAAATGACTTCAGGTTACAGATTCTAGCGTTGGCTTCATTTCTGTATTGAGAGCTTTAAGATCGGAGGAGTTTGCTGGATCAGGCCAGTGGCCCATCTAGTCCAGAATCCTGTCCTCATAGTGGCCAACCAGACAGACGCCTGGGGGAAACTCGCAAGTAGGACCCCAGGCACAAGAGAAACTCTCCCCTCCTGTCATTTCCAACAACTGGTCTTCAGAAGATCTGCTGCCTCAAATCGTGGAGGCCAACAGAGCCATCACAGCTAGCAGCCATCATTAGCCCTCTCCATGAATCCGTCCAATCCTCTTTTTCAAGCCATCCCAAGTTGCTGGCCATCACTGTCTCCTGCATGAGCAAATCCCAGAGTTTTAACTATGTGCTATGTGAACCAGCACTTTATTATTTATCTGTCCTGAATCTTCCAACATTCAACTTCTCCGGGTGCCCACGAGTTCCCAGTGCTACGAAAGGGCGGGGGAGAAGCTTTTCTCTACAGTGGTACCTCAGGTTACAGACGCTTCAGCTTACAGACTCCGCTAACCCAGAAATAGTACCTCGGGTTAAGAACTTTGCTTCAGGATGAGAACAGAAATCGTGCTCTGGCGGTGCGGCGGCAGCAGGAGGCCCCATCAGCTAAAGTGGTGCTTCAGGTTAAGAACACTTTCGGGTTAAGAACGGACCTCCAGAACGAATTAAGTTATTAAGCCGACATACCACTGTATTCAGGGATGCGGGTGGCACAGTGGGTTAAACCACAGTGCCTAGGACTTGCTGATCAGAAGGTCAGCGGTTCGAATCCCCACGACGGGGTGAGCTCCCGTTGCTCAGTCCCTGCTCCTGCCAACCTAGCAGTTCGAAAGCACGTCAAAGTGCAAGTAAATAAATAGGTACCGCTCTGGCGGGAATGTAAATGGTGTTTCCGTGCGCTGCTTTGGTTCGTCAGAAGCGGCTTAGTCATGCTGGCCACATGACCCAGAAGCTGTACGCCGGCTCCCTCGGCCAGTAAAGCGAGATGAGCGCCACAACCCCAGAGTCGGCCACGACTGGACCTAATGGTCAGGGGTCCCTTTACCTTTACACCACTGTATTCACTTTCTCCATGCCGTGCATAATTTTACAAGATTCTATCGTGTCACCTCTTACTCATATTTTCTCTAAAGAATCTCCTATGCTGCAAGCTTTCTTTGAGGAGGAGTCATTTGGTTGTCTCTTTTCTGAACCTTTTTCAAGAAGCTGACCAGAACTGCACACAGTATTCCAAATGGGATTTGTATTCCAACAGATCTGTGTAACGGCATTACGGTACCTGTAGGTATCCTTCCTGATGATCCCCAGTATGGAATTTCCCCTTTTGACAGCTGCCGCACACTGGGCCGACAACTTCATCAAACTCTCCACGATGATCCCTGGTCAATCACCACCAGTGAAATAAAGATTCATTTATTGCCCCAGCATGCATCACCTTACTCTTGTTCACAATAAATTATATTTGCCATTTTACTGCCCATTCATTCATGGGAAAGGCGGGTGGAATTTGAAGGAAGAGACCACATTATGCTATCTCTCTTACTGTACAGGTGTATCTGAGCTTTCTGCAGAAAGGCAATAAAAGGAAATGCTTTAAATGCAAATACCAGAAGTCACCTTTGGCAACACACTGTTTAGCCAAGAAATCCTGAACACCCAAAACACACCATACAACTTTCAGCGCTCTGAAAGAAAACCAACTATCCAGTCATCCTTTGCATCTGATGCTTGTACACGTTACTTAAAAAAATTAATATTGTGCTTTAATGGTTAGAATAATAATAGTAATAAAATGCCTACTGCCCTGAGTCTTGAGAAACAACTGGCTACAGCATAAGCAAGCCTTAAACAAATAATCAAAGCTGGTAGGCCACAATCATTCTCACCAGCCTGCCTGCCCATACCTAAGTTATTAACTGATATTCTTAAAAAGGGGAGGAGAGGAAGATAATCAAATGTTGCGCAGCTTCTCTGTGTGATCTCTTACTTGCTGCAGCAGCTTCAAATAAAACCACAAGCTGGTTCTGGGCCAGGTTGGGCTGAGCGACTTCAGTTCTGCCCCAACTCCTTCTAAAAGGTGTCCCATTTGCCAGAAAGAGAACTGGATGTGCAACTTTCAAGAACAAAGTTGTGTATCCTGGCTCCCCCCCCCTTTTTTTTTCTCATTTGGTCCACCTAAGAAAGCAATACTCAAATCTGGAGAAAGTGGAAATTCAGACACAAGTCAAATGTCCCAACAAAAACCAACAGACTGACCAGAGTGCAGATTTACTCCAAGCTCAGAGCTTTAGAGAATAATAATAATAATAATAATTTATTTATATGCTGCCCATCTGACTAGGTTGCCTCAGCCGCCCGGGGGAAACGTGCTCGAACGATGCAGCATTGGTGCACACACCTCTGTGGCGTTGCTCGACTCTCCCACCCAAACCTGTTCTAGCTCTCCACACCACCTCTGCCAAACATTATTCCAAGAAATGTGTCTGCACAACGTAACGGAGCCAGGATTCTGATGCCGTCGGAAGGATGCAGAAAAGCCTGTGCAAATATTTGCCGGCAGGAGAAGATCTACGTACGGCTCTTGGAAGAGAAGCAAAGAAGAGACTCCAGATGAATTCTGACTAGATTGTAAGCCACCGTCTCTTGACCTTGGGAAAAGTTTCGCTCTGCTGTGGACGAGGGGGAAGAGATACCAGGCCCCGCACAACTGCAAGCCGGACGTCATAACTATGGCTCAAAGCATGCTTGTGCGAGTAGAAGCTATACTTATGCATGGATGTGTGTGTTCATGCATGCATGTGGGATACTCTGATATTCCCCTATTGCAGCTGCAGTCCTTTGTGCCACACAGCATGTTGTTCCAATGAACCCTTTTTTTCTTTTTCTTTTTGAGATGAGGGTTAGATGAGGGACTGCCAGTGAGAAGCAAAGCACTAACCCCCACCCCCTCAATGAGAAGCATTTTACAGTTTTGATCAAAGTCCGTATTTACAATGCACTGCAGGAATATAAACACCCAAGAACATTACCCCTTGCAAAATATCTAATATACAGTCATACCTGTGTTACATTTGCTTCATGTTACGTTCTTTCAGGTTACGTCCCGCGGTGACCCGAAAGTACCGGAAAGGGTTACTTCCGGGTTTCGCCGCTCGCGCATGCGCAGAAGCGCAAAATGACGTCACACGCATGTGCAGAAGCGGCGAATCACAACCCGCGCATGCGCTGCTGCGCTGCTGCGGGTTACGCTCTTTTCATGTTGCAAATGGGCCTCCGGAACGGATCCTGTTCACAACCAGAGGTACCATTGTATTACATTTCTATCATTGCTGGAGTCCCCATTCAAACGACAGTCCTTTCCTTTTATCCTGACCCAGGTCAACCCCATTTGCCTTTGACTCCCAGTACGTTTCCGAGCACAATTCAAAGTGTTGGTGCTGACCTTTAAAGTCCTAAACGGCCTCGGTCCTGTATACCTGAAGGAGCGTCTCCACCTGCATCGTTCTGCCCGGAAACTGAGGTCCAGCGCCGAGGGCCTTCTGGCGGTTCCCTCCCTGCGAGAAGCCAAGTTACAGGGAACCAGGCAGAGGGCCTTCTTGGTGGTGGCACCCGCCCTGTGGAACACCCTCCCATCAGATGTCAAAGAGAACAACAACTACCAGACTTTTAGAAGACATCTGAAGGCAGCCCTGTTTAGGGAAGCTTTTAATGTTTGATGCATTACTGTATTTTAATATTGTGTTGGAAACCGCCCAGAGTGGCTGGGGAAGCCCAGCCAGAGGGGTGGGGTATAAATACATTATTATTATTATCATCATCAGCCTCTCCCCACCCAGCCTCTCCCCACCCAGTTCCAGGAGCAGCAGGTTTGTTGAATTTCCCAGGGGGTCCAAAGGATGGGAAAGCCCCCTGCTCGACTCACAGCTCTTTCTTCTCCTACTCCTTCAGCTCCACCCTGGGAGGTTTTGTCACCTCGCATCAACAGGGAACTTCTATACGTGGACTGGCTATTGGCTGGCCTTGTTTACACATAATGCTAAGCCAAACTGAGGCTTAGCACAAATAGCAAGCACAGTAAGAAAACTGTGGCCGCTTTATTTAAGAGAGTCTGTAAAATAAAACCTATAAGCTTTGCTCCTCTCGCCCACTCCTGCAGCGCTACCAGAAGATAAGCCACAGTATGCCTTAGCAGCAGGGCTCAGCAAACTTTTTCTGCAGGGGGCCAGTCCACTGTCCCTCAGACCTTGTTGGGGGCCGGACTATATATTTTTTTTGGGGGGGGGGGATGAACGAATTCCTATGCCCCACAAATAACCCAGAGATCCATTTTAAATAAAAGGACATTCTACTCATGTAAAAACATGCTGATTCCCGGACCGTCCATGGGCCGGATTTAGAAGGAGATCGGGCCAGATCTGGCCCCCAGGCCTTAGTTTGCCTACCCATGCTTAGCAGTACAGTGGTACCTTGGGTTAAGAACTTAATTCGTTTCGGAGGTCCATTCTTAACCTGAAACTGTTTTTAACCTGAAGCACCACGTCAGCTAATGGAGCCTCCCGCTGCCGCCGGAGCACGATTTCTGTTCTCATCCCGAAGCAAAGTTCTTAACCCGAGGCACTCTTTCTGGGTTAGCGGAGTCTGTAACCTGAAGCGTATGTAACCCGAGGTACCACTGTATAAGCGAACCCAGGCTCAGGGTTTTTCTTCCTAACAAACAATGCATGGCAAGGCAGACCATGGTTACAGCTTGCAATGTGCATGGGGTGAGACAAACCACAAGCCCAACAAACCACAAGATGCAACCAAGTTCTACAATCTGGGCTCCAGGCTCCACACAGCTCCTTGACCATTTGCAGATGCAGCTCAGATAGGATTTTCACCCACAAAGCCTTGCAACGACCAATGAGGAAAAATATGCTTTGCTCTTTTCCCAGGCTGGGAAGAAGCAACGCATGGCTGCCCCCCACTGCTTTCCCAAGAGGCTAGAGGAGGGAGAAGGAAAAGGCCCCGTGTCATTCTTCCTGCAATCTAGAAAGAAGAGGGCCAAGGAGGAAGGTGCTCAAAGCGATGAAAGCGCTATGAGGCTGCTGTGTACATTCTTCTCTCTTCGGATTACAAGACATGACTTCTACATTACGTTAAGCAACTTCACCGCCTGCTGAGATTTCTACCAGAGACCTATCAAAACCCCCAGAGACGCCCCCCCCCCCCGGCAACCTGAGCCCTTAACACACAAAGAAAAAAATGAGAAGTACACAGCTCCCCCCACCCCACGCGCAAAGGGTCTTCAGGAGAAAGCAGCAGTTAAGCTGAGCTAGGAAGAATTAAGCTTGCAAGTCTAAGAAATTCCTTTGCCCTCAAATAACCTGTTGAAAGAGACTTTTCCGAAAGTACAGATCATGCCAAATCTGAAGCAATCCATGAGACAATAGACGTGTTATTTTCAGAGGAGGCAGCTGCTGATTTCAGTTTCTTTGAGATGATTCCCCCCCCCTTTTTTTATCTTGCGGGGGGGTGGGGTGGAGAGAGAATGCAAAAGTGCATTTTGCAGAAGTGCTGTAAGGCTTGACACAGGCTGGCTTCCAGTAGCTGAAGCAAAGGCAACAAAGGGGGAAGCCCAGAGCTCTGTATTTTTGTGCATTCCTAAGGGGGGGGGAGAGGCCGCGGGTGGCGCTGTGGGTTAAACCACAGAGCCTAGGACTTGCCGATCAGAAGGTCGCCGGTTCGAATCCTCAAGACGGATCCCACTGCTCGGTCCCTGCTCCTGCCAACCTAGCAGTTCGAAAGCACGTCAAAGTGCAAGTAGATAAATAGGTACCACTCCGGCAGGAAGGTAAATGGCGTTTCCGTGCGCTGCTCTGGTTCGCCAGAAACGGCTTAGTCATGCTGGCCACATGACCCGGAAGCTGTATGCTGGCTCCCTCAGCCGATAAAGCGAGACGAGCGCCGCAACCCCAGAGTCAGCCACGACCGGACCTAATGGTCAGGGGTCCCTTTATCTTTTTAAGGGGGGGGGAGAGCCCTGTGTCCTGCTCTATGTTCCTGGAGCTAGCGCCCTCAAAAGCCCAGACATGTACTTAGTGCCCAAAGGATCCCTGCACCCCAACATATTTTGAACAGAACCCCATGAAACTGATGCGTAACTTAAAATGAAACCACAAACCTCCTCGCCCTAGTTCTCACAACACCCTATTATACTAAGCACTCGGCTCCTATGTCACAGTGCCTTACTTAGGGTCGCTGCCCCAAGCTTGCATCTATGGAGCCGTGGGTTCAAATCCCATTTTCATCATGCTGGAGCCAGCACAAGACTCAACCTTAGGTGAGGAGCCACAGTTCAGTGGGAGTGCATAAACTATGCATATGTGGTAAAGGTAAAGGTAAAGGCACCACTGACCATTAGGTCCAGTCGTGGCCGACTCTGGGGTTGCGGCGCTCATCTCACTTTACTGGCCAAGGGAGCCGGCGTCCAGCTTCCGGGTCATGTGGCCAGCAGGACTAAGCCGCTTCTGGCAAACTAGAGCAGCGCACGGAAACGCCGTTTACCTTCCCGCCGGAGCGGTACCTATTTATCTACTTGCACTTTGGCGTGCTTTTGAACTGCTAGGTTGGCAGGAGCTGGGACTGAGCAACGGGAGCTCACCCCGTCGTGGGGATTCGAACCGCCGACCTTCTGATCGGCAAGTCCTAGGCTCTGTGGTTTAACCCACAGCGCCACCCGCGTCCCGTATGCATCTGTGGTACCTGCAGTTTAAAAGTTCTCAGGTAGCAGAGCTGAGAATTTTATTTTTATTTTTTTGCTGAAGGCCTTAGAGTGCCACTGCCTGTCAGAGAAGACAGAGAAGTGGGCTAGAAGGCTCAACAGTCCAATTCAATACAAGGTGTGTTCATACTGGCTCCAGACTGCCCAAAAAGCTCAGAAACTGTACCAAAAAGCTCAGAAACTGAAACTGCGTTGGGTTTGCTGGATCAGATCACGGGGTCAAAAAGCCCTGCAGCTGGGGAAGCGGGGAAAAAAGAATAAATGACACAAAAACGTCCGAGCACCGGGTGAGGGTGTGGAGACAGACAGGCAGTGGCAAATTGCAGAGCGCTGGGCACTGAAGCCAGGGCAACTGTCTTACCAGCAGCAATAATGTGGCTCCCCCAAGTGGTCGCTGGGCCGCGTACAAACTGTGGGTGTGATGGCAGCTCTAAAGAAGGGTTCAGGGAGGGAAGCTAAGGATTGAGTCTGTGGAGCCATAAAGGTTTCCCACCCATGATCTATGTGGAATTATATTAATAGCCATACCAGCAGTCTTCCCTAGCCCTGCTAACAAATCTCTTTCAATTTGTCTGAGATTCCTTGATTCTCAGCATGCAAAGTAAGTGAAGTGCCAATGAGCTATGGCCACTTCCCCACTGAAGGGAGTAGCTTTCACTGACAAGAGGTTTGATACAGCAAATAATTTCTACTGCCTTGGCAGATCCCACCCAAGTCCTTGCTACAAGCAGACTTCCTAGGGGTGTGGGCCTCTGAATGACTCTCTCTCTCTCTGACTAATACACACCAAAAACTTACTGCAAACTGCATTTTACTCTCTTCCACCACACTGAACCACAGAGCCAGCGAGAGCAATACAAAGCTCTCCTTCTCTATTTATAAACTGTCTTTCCATAAGGGCCCACGGCAGTCCACAGGCAACCATGGTAATAACACAACATACAAAAAATGGCAAATCTGATTGCGCACAGCACTATCTGACTAAGCCAACGTGATTCTGTTCCCTTCCCTACCCGAACCCACGAGGAAAGTCGAAACCAGCGTGCCAAAAACCAGCAGTTCAAACATTCTAAGGCTTAACTTCATCCAAGTGAGAGTCCTAAGTGCAGGTTAAAGGCATAAAACCAGAACTGGGGAAATCCCAGATACCTAGCTGCTAAGAAATGTAATGGATTCTGAAATATTTGTTCAGCTCTGGCAAGTGCTAGAAGATTAAGAGTCGATTCATTCTCCCAGCCTTGGTTAAAAATAATAAAAAAAGCAGCATTAAAGACATTTCATACCACTGTATCTTAAGCGCTAAACAGGAGATTTGTACAATTAAGACTAGGTTTCCTGCAAGCTTTTAGCAGGCTGTTTTCCATTCTGAATTTAGACCTGGACGTTGTCCTAATCCTGGAGAACTGATGCCTCTCTGGTCCTGAGCAACGGCTCCAGGGGAGTTGGTTCAGCCTTGTAATATGCCACTTGCTTGCTCATCCAGAGAACAGTGCCAATGGCCTCAGGGCAACTGTGTACACCCAATATCCCACTTCCAACACCGTCTTGGACAAGGGACAGCTTCAGTGGGAGCAGCAGGATAGTCTGGGCATCTTTCCCTTTTGCAAAAACTGACCAACTCAGAGGCATTTCCTCATTCTGAGCAGGTAGTAGAATCCCAATAGTGAAAGAACTGGCACAACCGCATGCATGCACAAATAGTTTTTTAAGGAAACATCAGGGAGAAAAGCGTGTGTGTGTTTGTGTGCGTGATCCCAGGGGAGCTGAACTTCTGCAGGCTCAAAACAAAAGTACATTTTGTCCAAGGTAGGAGATATTACAAAAAGACCGAATCTGCATACTGAATTCCCCAGTAACATTCTTTTGCTACATTAGCTGTTGCCATTTGCCAAGGAAAGAGATCGCTGAAATTCTTAGCAATATGCAATAGAATACCAGGAGAGTCACTGTCCTCAAATTCCTCTGTTTACAACAGCCTTCCCCAACTTGGTGCCTGCCGTCCAGATGTTTTGGATGAAACTTCCATTATTATTATTATTATTATTATTATTATTATTGGTTGCTCTGGCTGAGGCTGATGTAGCCCCAAAACATCTGGGGGACAACTGCAAGTTGGAAAAGGCTGGCAGACGCAGTCCCAGTTCAACCACATAGGAAGCTACACCGCACCCCCACAAGAAATGTCTCCTGATAAAATCCAGAACCTCTCAAGTGTTCCACAACGTCCACCACATACGGAGTGTTTCCCAAACCTGGGTCTCCAGCTGTTGTTGGACTACAACTCCCATCACCCATGACCACCGGTCCTGTTAGCTAGGGACGATGGGAGTTGTAGTCCAACAACAGCTGGAAACCTAGGTTTGAGAAAGCCAGTCTAGCCACTATGTTAAGAAAACCTTAAAAGGTAAAGGTAAAGGGACCCCTGACCATTAGGTCCAGTCGTGGCTGACTCTGGGGTTGCGGCACTCATCTCGCTTTATTGGCCGAGGGAGCCGGTGTACAGCTTCTGGGTCATGTGGCCAGCATGATTAAGCCGCTTCTGGCGAACCAGAGCAGCGCACGGAAACGCCGTTTTACCTTCCCGCCAGAGCGGTACCTATTTATCTACTTGCACTTTGAAGTGCTTTCGAACTGCTAGGTTGGCAGGAGCTGGGACCGAGCAACAGGAGCTCACCCCGTCGCAGGGATTTGAACCACCGACCTTCTGATCGGCAAGTCCTAGGCTCTGCGGTTTAACCCATAGCGCCACCCGCATCCCTAAGAAAACCTTAGGTGCTGCTTAAGTGTCCTCAGTTCCCAGGGACAACCTTCACTTGACACCCCCCCCTTCCCGCCTGGTTCTTGCTCTCGTTGATTTGCCTCCAACTCTGCCCGACGACGGCTGGATAACATTCTGACGGCTGTTGTGAAATGTCTGCGGACACCTCGAGTTAACCAGCCGGTGCGTCTTACAGCGGAATATTGTGCTGCGTATTCTGAGCAGAATGTTTTCGATCTAACACGTTTGCAGATGTTCTTAAACAGTTTCGAATGCCGCGAGTATGTTTTCGTTTCTAATTGCACTGTTTTCGCTGCTTTGTTTTTTTGCCGCCCTGGGCTCCTTTGGGAGGAAGGGAGGGAGGGATACAAAACTTAATAAATGGTAATAACACAAATACCCCTCCATGGAGACCTGCGGGAAATGTCCATAGATTCTAGCTGAGCAGGGGAGCAGCTGCTTCTTAGCAGTAGTCTGCGAGGCGAGGCTTTCTCATTTCCTGCACTCCAGAGTTGAAGTACAGTTGAAGGACGGCATGCAGTCGCCCTATAGCTTTAAAATCTGAAATGCAGTTTGGGGGTGGTGGGACTGCAAACTTGATCAGGGTAGTAGAGAATGGTGGGGAGGGAGCCCTTCCTAATGGGGCATTTTCTCTCTCTAATTAAAACTGCCCTTCCCATGCTGCTTTTCCATCTATGGAGGGTGGGGTGCAAGGCACCCAGCTTCATTTTGATCTACAGAAAACCGGCCAGATGGGACGAATTAAGCTGCCCCACCTCCCGTCACTGCTCTGACGACATCTGAAGCTGCCCATGGTTATGATTTCAGTATCAAATGGTAAAGGGTCAGGAGTTCACCCCCATCTCGTGCCCAGTTTGACCCTGATACCCACCACCCAGTGACAAGGGTTCACATTGGATGTGGGGTTTTGCAGCAGCAGAGTCTCTTCACCCCACCCATGGGGGACACTGGTGCTGAATCCAAGCATTTGGAACAAGGTCACTCTGCGCCTCTGTTCTCCCAGAAGCTTTTCAAGATTTCTTAAGTCCTGCCAGGCAGTGTCTCAGAGCCTTTCCCCCTACTAAAAGGTAAAGGGACCCCTGACCATTGGGTCCAGTCGTGGCTAACTCTGGGGTTGCGGCACTCATCTCGCTTTATTGGTCGAGGGAGCCGGCGTACAGCGTACATGTGGCCAGCAGGACTAAGCCGCTTCTGGCGAACCAGAGCAGCGCATGGAAATGCCGTTTACCTTCCCGCCGGAGCGGTGCCTATTTATCTACTTGCACTTTGACGTCCTTTCGAACTGCTAGGTTGGCAGGAGCAGGGACCGAGCAACGGGAGCTCACCCCGCCGTGGGGATTCGAACCGCCGACCTTCTGATCGGCAAGCCCAAGAGGCTCAGTGGTTTAGACCACAGCGCCACCCGTGTCCCTTTCCCCCTACTAGTCAGGATTAAATGTGCAGTTTCAGCTCTCTGCTGTATCTGTAGAGCCCACCTCCAGATAAAGATGGCCGCCCTGGTGAACACCTGGTTCTTTCATGGAAACCCACCAAGTGCTCATGCAAGAATGATGCATTCTTCCCGAAAGCTATCATGGGAAGCAAATGATTTGTTTCCCCAAAGAGTTATTTGGAGGCAGTGTTTTTCAGACGCTGTTTTCCATGGTGTGCACACTCATCTCTTTTGTCTCTGGTCAAACAGGTCTTACAAGCTTTCAAATCCCTATTGGGGAAGAGCTTGCAAAACCTGCTTAGCCTACGACAACAGTGGGACAGGAAAAATATGTGCACACGAGATATGGCTCTAGCAAACCAACTCCAAATACATCACCTGCCTCCATATTTAATAGAAACTCCAAAATGAAGGATTTGAGGGGAGGAGATCAAAGTAGTTTGCTTCCAGTTGCTCCTCGTTTTAAGGTCCAATAAATTAATGGCTGCCTTCTCATTCCCCCTTTGGTCTACGAGGAGTGGAGTGCCTTTCAGAGCGCAGAGCTTTTTGAGCAGTAGATGCTCATATCTCCCGTAAAATGGGCCAGCCTGGGAAACCTGAAGAGGAGCTCTGATAAACATATTAATGCCTGAGGTGGCCCTGAATAACCCTCTGGTCACGGAAAAAGGCAGACTGAAGAGAATTAAGGCGGCATTATCTCAGGACAACTATGTAAACAGGCGCAGAAGTGAGGCTAGAACGAAGCAGAGAGAGACAAGCAGGAGAGAGCCCCTGGGTCCCACAGTGGCCAATTTGGTGCTTCTGGGAAGCTCACAAGCCAAGCATGGAGGCCTAATCCCACCACACATTTTTGCCCCTTACGCAACTGGGATTCAGGGGTATACATCCCTTGCAGATGGAGGCTCCATTGAGTTACCATGCTGATAGTTGATGATTGGCCTATTCTCTATGGACAGATATAATCCCCTTTTGCCCAAGACCTCTGTGGAGCTGTTCCACTGGAAAATGTAGGCTCCCCCCCAGATTGTATGGACTTTCAGTGCACCTGCCAAGCAGACTGAACTCACTGTTTGGAGGCAGGAAGTTGGCACAACATGAGAAAAATACACATAGACACACATTCTTCTCCTGACCAGCATCCTAAAAAGAATAGCTATTGAACTTCCAAGGTCAGAGTGAACTCTGGCATCACACCGCCTCCCTTCCTTCCTCTTTGGAAGAGCTGTTGACAAGAAAAGGAATGTTTTTCAATATGCTACTGATCCTTTTTTTAAAAAAAAAAACAAAAAAAACACAAAAAACCAGTAAGCTCAAGAGGAGAGGTGTGTAGGCATTTATGGCTCAGGCCAAGCAGTTGCAAGATGGCCTTCAAGCATTTGCTCTAATAGCTGGGCAGCAAACGCCCGATGTAGGCTGATCACCAACATTATCCATTCCCAAACAGTGGGGCAACAGAGGACATGCTTTGTCTCCCTGCCCTCCTGCATATATACCCTGGACAGGCCTGCCAATAAGACACAGAGTTTATTTTTATTTATTGCATGAATACCCCACCTTGGGACGCGGGTGGCGCTGTGGGTTAAACCACAAAGCCTAGGACTTGCTGATCAGAAGGTCGGCGGTTCGAATCCCCGCAACGGGGTGAGCTCCTGTTGCTCGGTCCCTGCTCCTGCCAACCTAGCAGTTGAAAAGCACATCAAAGTGCAAGTAGATAAAGAGGTACCGCTCCAGCGGGAAGGTAAACGGCGTTTCCGTGCGCTGCTCTGGTTCACCAGAAGCGGCTTAGTCCTGCTGGCCACATGACCCAGAAGCTGTACGCCGGCTCCCTCGGCCAGTAAAGGGAGATGAGCGCCGCAACCCCAGAGTCGGTCACGACTGGACCTAATGGCCAGGGGTCCCTTTACCTTTACCCCACCTTACCTCCAAAGAGCTCAAGGTGGGACACAGGTCCCCTCCCTCCCCATTTTATCTTCACAGCAATCCTGGGAGGCAGTTCAGACCGAGAGACTGCAACTGGCGCAAGGTCACCTAATGAGCTACATAGCCAAGTGGAGGTTTGAACCCTCCCAGGTCCTAGTCCAACATTCTACACCACACCTGCGTAAGCCAGTAGATGTGACCAGCTTACACAAGCACCGCTCAAGAAGAACTGTGTGAATGACGGGCAAGGAGCCCCCATGGCGAGGCAACAGTTCGGTCAAAATCAGACTTGCCTCCGAGAGCTGCTCAGCACACTCTGGAAGCATTAGTAGGGGGGCTGCCAAGCCAAGCCAAATAAAACGCAGCATATAGTTGCAAGACACGGGATTCCACAGAAGGGTCTGCGCCACACCTGCCCACGACAATCCGGCCTGGGAGGGTACTTTGCAATGAGCCTTGTAGCTGTGCTGGGAACTGGAAAATACACAGCGCTTACACAGGGTTTGACAGGACTTTCCAGAGATTGGGAAGTGCAGCACCTGCAACAGGACCCCTAAGCATGAGCTCTAGGAACATGCTATTTTTAAAAACGAAAGCCGAGAGCCTTCCGCCCTAGCCAGTTCCATACCGAGCGCCAGAAGGGGTGTGGGGCAAGTTCAGCTTTTTCTATAGGGATTTCGGCTCTTGCTGTCAGATACACAGTTGTGCTCTTGCTTGTTCTTTATACTTCCCTGCCCCCCCACCTCTGCCAGTACACAGCGTGTGATTTGCCAAATCTAAAGCTGGTGAATAGTTTTGGAAACACCCACCCCACCCCACACGCTTCCAGGTGGGAAATGTTAAGGTTACTGCAATCAAAGCCAAAATACTATTGAATTCCAGCTCAGCTCAAAAACAAGTATGGCTCCTTTTCAATTCATCCCCATGGGGGGGAGAAACCCATTTACCTTTCTAGCAGCAAGGACCCCTGGTATTGTAGCTTGGTATCCATTGGCAAGGGTCATTGTGCTGGGTACCAGTCAGGCTTTAGGACCTGATGAAGGTTTAAGGAGCAGCCTGTTCACTGCGGCCCTTCCCAACTGCTGCTACAAGAAGATATGTTTTACGGAAGTGGAAGAAGGCCTGCAAAAACGGGGGGGACGGGGGACACACAAATGGCCACAGACCTGGTAATTTGGAAAATGACACCCCTGGGAACACAGCAAGGTCTGGAGTTCAGAATGGGGCAAGCTTTAAAATGAGCCGATTCGGCCCCAACCTGAATTAAGCTCAAGGTATCTTGTTCTTAAAGGGGACGCAGGTGGTGCTGTGGGTTAAACCACAGAGCCCAGGACTTGCCGATCAGAAGGTCGGCGGTTCGAATCCCCGCGACAAGGTGAGCTCCCATTGCTCGGTCCCTGCTCCTGCCAACCTAGCAGTTTGAAAGCACATCAAAGTGCAAGTAGATAAATAGGTACCGCTCTGGCGGGAAGGTAAACAGTGTTTCCGTGCACTGCTCTGGTTCACCAGAAGCGGCTTAGTCATGCTAGCCACGTGACCCGGAAGCTGTACGCCAGCTCCCTCATCCAATAAAGCGAGATGAGCGCCGCAACCCCAGAGTCGGTCACGACTGGACCTAAAGGTCAGGGGTCCCTTCTCCCTTCTTGGGAGAACTCATCCCAAACTGAGACAAGGCAAACTCACTGCTAAGTTTATCCCAAACATCGGTATGACTTTTATAGCGCAATCCATTAAAAATACTTGCAGCTAAACTTCCTTACATGACAACGGAGGGAAATTCAGTGTTGGCGCATAAAGTTCTCAAGGGACCACATAGCAGGGACAGGAGACGCCGCTCTGGCTGAGAGCAGCACCGACCATTCTTGGTCAGAACTGCTCTGACAAAGTAAGCGTTCTTTTGTTCACCAGGCCTAGGTGCTTAATGCTGTGTATTTCTCTGGAACTATAACTCCTTATAATAGCAAACTCTGCTGGGTGAGTACCTCCAGGATTGCAGCCAAGGCAGGGCTGTCAAGAAACAAGAGGGAGGCGTTGGCACGCTTGGAGGAAGTATAAGAAACATGGAATATACCTGAGGGGGACCTAAAAACCAAACAAAGCCACAAACAGCACAATGAGGACCAATCATGCCCACTAGGCCATGTGACAAATGGAAAAGGAAAAACAGACCTGGGGGTGCTTGCTGGAATACTGAACAGGAGCTCTCTTTTCAGGATGGGGGACAAACTGCAACACTTTGTTGCAGGCCCTACTTATGTAATACATGTCTAGCTTTGTAATTTGTTAAGTTTTTATCTGTGCACCATTTAGCAAGCTGATTTGTAGAAGGCAGTCTATAAAATTTAAGTGCTGCAGAACATTGCAGCTTTAGTTAGGTAAGAGGAAGACAAGACAGCTTCCAGGTTTTGCAGAAGATAAACCATTAAAGAAGTGCCAATCTGCAATATAAGAACAAACACACCTTTTTCTAAGGCTACTGTTAGAAACTTCTACAAGGGCTACTACATTAATGGGCATTCCTCGTTACAGAAAGGCCAAGTTGGCTTTGCCACTGAGAGTACATTTAAGAGGTTGGGAAGTTTTTTTGGCCACTTCAGGTTTGCAGCTGACTTCTGACTACCATTACTTGCAAGGGGGTCTTCACAGAGTTAACACTAAGCTGGTGCTCGTCAAATGCCTTTCCTTTCTAGGAGCCTGAGAAAGTAGCACAAGACGACCCTGAGCTGAGTTCAGCTCTGTGCACTCTTGAACAAGAGGCATTTCCATGCCTGGTTAAACTGGAAATATATATATAAAAATAAATAAATAGTCCAGTAGCACCTTAGAGACCAGCTAAATTTGTTCTTGGTATGAGCTTCCATGTGCATGCACACTTCTTCAGATACCAAGAACAAGATACTAAGAACAAACTTGGCTGGCCTCTGAGGTGCTACTGTGGGGACGCAGGTGGGGACGCGGGTGACGCTGTGGGTAAAACCTCAGTGCCTAGGACTTGCTGATCACAAGGTCGGCGGTTCGAATCCCCGCGGGGTGAGCTCCCGTTGCTCAGTCCCTGCTCCTGCCAACCTAGCAGTTCGAAAGCACCCCTAAGTGCAAGTAGATAAATAGGTACCGCTTTATAGCGGGAAGGTAAACGGCGTTTTCGTGTGCCGCGCTGGTGCTGGCTCGCCAGACACCGCTTAGTCACGCTGGCCACATGACCCGGAAGTGTCTCCGGACAGTGCTGGCTCCCGGCCTCTTGAGCGAGATGAGCGCGCAACCCTAGAGTCGGACACGACTGGCCCGTACGGGCAGGGGTACCTTTACCTTTTTAAGGTGCTACTGGACAATTTTTTTAATTTTTAAAAATGTATTTTTACTGCGTCAGACCAACACGGCTACCTCCCTGAATCTGGTTCAACTGGGGCAGCCTTCTGTAGACACAAATTCACCAGGCTGGCTTTTCACAACGTCCCACAGATGAAGGTCACAAGCAGGAATGCCTGAAGGTAAATGGCCACCAGGTCCCAGAGACTCTTAAACAAGCCTTCCACAACATGGTGCCTTCCAGATGTTTTGAACCACATCTGGAGAGAATCAGGTTGGAGAAGGTTGCACTCAACAGGCAGCTCATTCCAAAAATGGAACCTGGTATCAGTACCTGGAGACAGTCAGTCGTGCATCCGCAGCAGTGACCAGAGGAGGAATGGCCGCTGGGAATGCAGAGAAGAAACGTCACGGTGCATGTGCATTAGCACAACTGGACACCTTCATCTGCCCCAGCTGCAAAAAAACATGTCTCCTCTGTATTGGTCTGTACAGACACAGCAGATGCTGCAACTCTCCAATCATCTGACTTCACCCCCAAAGGCTTCACCTCCACTGTTTCTCGAGACAGATGGATGCCAGCCTAAGCTATTAGTCTGCAATAGCTACAGAAGACAGCACAGCAGCAGTTTAATAAGCCTTGTAAACATCCAAAGAAATTGCTCCCATTTCAGTTCAGGAATATCCAGATGATTTTGTCCTGGATTCAAGGGGGGGGGGGGGAATTAGGTGCTGTACACATACCAGACAGCACGGGATTAAGTAAATAATTAGAGTGGAATGGCAAGCCCCTCTGCAGTCTAAAGGTTCTTCGTCGTATGTTAGCAAACATTATCTTTTCGATGCAGATTATCTTCTGAAGCGGCAGCACAACTGTGTGTGTGTGTCAGGAGCCCCTGAGGTTCAGGCACCTAATTTCATACTCCCCGGGCCACTGTTCCGTTGCACTGCAGTCAGTTCAAGCCAGGACACCATGAATCATGTGATCCAAGAAAGGCAGACCACCTGCTGTCGAGCTGCTAGATTCGCCACTATGCCAGCATACAACAAAGAGTGCTGCAAATGTCCCCTAGAAAAGGGGAGGCCCTGCACTGCTGTGAACAACGCAGCTCAATTCTGACAAATATTTCCGGGAAATGTGGGGGAAAGGGCTTTTGGGTCAAGCCTATCAATGTAATCTAATGGTGTGTTCCCTACTCCAGTAGTTTGGGTGGTGCAGATGTACTTGCATGTTAAAAACATGGAGCATTTATAGGGCATGTTTTCAAGTATCCAAATGTCAAAATAAATCAAGACGGTAAGGCAAATGTTGTCCAGATATTATTATTATTATTATTATTATTATTATTATTATTTATACCCCGCCCATCTGGCTGGGCTTCCCCAGCCACTCTGGGCTGCTTCCAACAAAATATTAAAATACTATAATACATCAAACATTAAAAGCTTCCCTAAACAGGGCTGCCTTCAGATGTCTCCTAAAAGTCTGGTAGTTGTTTTTCTCTTTGACATCTAGTGCGAGGGCGTTACACATGGCGGGTGCCACTACTGAGAAGGCCCTCCGTCTGGTTCCCTGTAACTTGGCTTCTCGCAGCGAGGGAACCGCCAAATTATTTTTTAAAAATGGGGGGGAGGGGGGAGGAGAGTTTGACATTTGTCTGAATTGATTCTGCAGTTCAATCAAGATTTGAACTTTGAAGCTACCATAGTTGCTACCCTTCATTTTCCTTGGAAATGGGACAAGCTAAAGCGGCGCCATCTCTTATTTCATTTAGCTTCTCATAGCTATGTGAGCTGCCCCTAGTCACACAGGTTGTCCTACGCCACTTGCTCCCTGCTGTTACACCACCCACCCCTTCCACAGATAACCTTTCATGCAAATATAGAAGCAAACCCAGAGGTGCCTATTCCGAGAGCGCCTCTGATCTGGACAGATCATTAGCCCAAGACATTAGCTAAGCAAAGAGGCTGCCAAGACATTGTATGGCTTAATCCTCTCCTTGCCGCTTCATGTAATCAATACCTGGCAGGTGTAATCTTTGGCATGGCCAGGTTTGAAGGTTTTCGGAAAGGTCAGCAAGATTGCATTCCCGCCCCCCCCCACAGATCCACACCTTCCCCAAGCATGGATTTAAAAAGGAGACCAGTTAAGCGGTGAAAGTCATGAATGAAATACAAGAGAGATGATAGCCAAAATCCGGAGCTCACAAACACCTGATTGGAAGGTGTTTGTGGAAGAGTCGTGGTTTTAGCTGTAAGAATCCCAACAGCCAAAAATGGAAAGGAGGAAGGGGAGAAGGCCAAACCAGGTTCTAATCTCACGTCAGCAGTGAATTTGCTGGTAATTATGGAACCACTGGGTCCCTAACCTCATAGAATCGTAGAGTTGGAAGGGACCCCACAGGTCATCTAGTCCAACCCCCTGCAATGCCGAAATCTTAACTAGAGCATCCATGACAGATGGCCATCCATCTCTCATTAGCTCCAAAATTCATGGGTAACCCATAGCATGTACACAAGCCTCCGTCACCAGAGTTTAATTGTTTCTTGCATTTATACTCCACTCTTCTTCCAAGCATATATGGGCTTTATTCTGTTCTATTTAATTTATATGCCGCTTTTCAGGCAGACCTCACAAAGTAGTCTACATGAGATTGCTGCAATGATAAGCGCTGCCTAAGAAAAAGAAGTTACAATAAAATGGGTAAGACAACTTGTTTAGAAAAGGCCGTCCCCAAGCTGTCACTCACACTGGAAATAAGATAGGCCGAATGAGCGTTCTTTGAGACTCAAGTCTGCAAATATGTCACCTGCATTCCTGGCCCGGCATAAACAGAGTGGGATGTGCTCATGCAGCTAGATGGTGAGTTTGCATACTTCTCTTTTCCAATTTATCGAAGGATAAACTTCCCCAGAATATTGGAGATGTGCACCTGCAGACTATGGCCTCCTTTTGCGGCCCTGGACTAGGCACTCTTCGTGCCTCAGTGCACCGTCTGTATAATGGGAGCACTGACGTACTTCAGAGTCATTGCAAAGGCCCACAAAATGAAGACCGTGAAGCAAATCTGCACAGCATAAATCCGGCAATTAATGATGACTAGTAAAAGGGACCCCTGACCATTAGGTCCAGTCGTGACCGACTCTGGGGTTGCGGTGCTCATCTCGCTTTACTGGCCGAGGGAGCCGGCGTTCAGCTTCCCGGTCATGTTCAGCTTCCGGGTCATGTGGCCAGCATGAGAAAGCCGCTTCTGGCGAACCAGAGCAGCGCACGGAAACGCCGTTTACCTTCCTGCTGGAGCGGTACCTATTTATCTACTTGCACTTTGACGTGCTTTCGAACTGCTAGGTGGGCAGGAGCAGGGACCGAGCAACGGGAGCTCACCCCATTGCAGGGATTCGAACCGCCGACCTTCTGATTGGCAAGTCCTAGGCTCTGTGGTTTAACTCACAGCACCACCCGTGTCCCTAATGATGACTAGTAGCATCTCACAATTCTTCCTACTTCCACCTCAGCTTAGAGCATTTCCAATTAAATTTCCCCTTGTTTGCAAAGCAAATGAAAGAGCCACGCTGACTTGAGCACAGCTTAGTGCTACAGTACTGCTGAAGCTAAGCAGGTGTTGACCTGATCAAGGCTTGGATGGGAGACAACTGCTGGACACCTGTCATACAAGCACAGATCCGAAGCAATAATTAAGCAAGTCAATGTCCGTATCGTAATAGCTCCTTGGTGCTCCAGTGATTTTCAGGTCATGCAACCCTTTCTAACTAGTAGCATTTAAAAACAGACGAAATTATTAAAATTAAACAAACAACTTCTTCTGGAACAAGGCCAGGCTCAATGAAGCTGTTTGTCTGATTTCCGATGCTACCTGAATCTTTACGAGACTCAGAAAGAGGGCATTTTCTTACAACCTCTGCACCTACTTCATTAAAACATTCCAGCAGCATTTTGAAGTAGCTAAAAGCCAAACTCACAAGTGTCTATGCACTTACTCCCAATTCATGACAGTTCTGCAATTTAAATTGATTCCACAAGCAGAAGTCACAAGAAAACGGGGGCTTATTTTCCTTTGCAAATAGGCTGCTAGAGGCTTCGGGGAAGCTGCTCTCAGCTTCACAGAGAAGGAACGGAATATAAATACAATGCAAGCATACCTTTGACTTTTAAAAAATGAACCTTTTTCGCATTTATCTAGAGAACTGGATGTCTTGCTGGAATTCTGAATTCCACACCTGGAAAAATACCTATATCATGGAATCAAAGAATTGTAGAGCCTTGTACAACTCCCTGCAATGCAGGAATCTCAACTAAAGCATCCATGGACCAACCAAAATGTCACAAACCCAACTTTCGGGTTCACCAGCATTCTGCATCAGGCAGTGCCAGTTACTAAAAGCAGGGGGTTGATGAGGAAAAATAGAACAAGTGCAGAAATTATGACGGGTGCTGTAGCCATGAGCTCAGGCTGCAGATTCAGTTCCAAGATGGAGATTGTAGCATAACACGTCCCTCTCAGGTGCTGCACCAAGGATTCTGGGGCAAAGAAGCAATGTTTCCTCCCTGCTTTTGACAGCACAACTTGCTAGTAACCTGGATCTGTTCCAAACTATAAATGAGAAACACAGGTTCCTGGGTAGACACAGTGGTGAAGAAGACAAACATAGCAGCCTTTCATTTAACAAAACCAGGAATGAATTTGGTTTGTGTAGCCGTAGGTAGGCTGAGGCAAAGATGTTACACAATGCAGGAAATGAGTGGACATGGAAATTTTTTAGAAAGTACGAAATGTTAAGCTGCGTGTTGTAGCCATGAGGTTATCTTGCCTGTTATCTTGAGCTCTAAAGAACTCAAAAGCTTGCCACAGCATTGTGAAATTTTGCTCTGTCTTAATAAAGATATTGTCTGATGGTGGGTTTTGGATTTTTATCTGATGGACCGAGATGGCTGCCTTTGATAATTTTTACTGGAAGGTTGCGTTAGATACCTTGCTGCAAGGGGTAGGAGTGGACTGGGTGATCCTTCTAGAATTGCAGTTCTGTGATCCACTCAAGAGATCCTAGACCTATTGCTCTATCCAGAATGTATAGACTAATAAAAGTGCAAGTTGCACAGAAGGCACACTGGGACTCACCACCTCAGCCAAAACACAAGTGACTGGTGACATCAATAGCGCATCAGACACAAATTAATCTGACTTTGATCTTGAAGTTCAGCAACAATGAGGACCCAAGTTATCCTTGCTGAAATGCACAGGAGCCCTACAAATCAGAATATTTACATTTAGAGTAATATTTACAATTAGAGCAAATGGCTTGCTCTATTACAAGGTCTGGGGTAAATAAATCAAACAGTCTTGGCTAGACAAAAAATCGGTGGCGTGACAGCACTGAAGAATTTCAGGTATCTGAGCCAAGAAAAAAACTGGCTGAAGTTGTGGCTGCACCATCTCGGGCACATCCTATGAAATAGCAGCATCTATTCGGCTGTGGGACAGGTTCTCAGAGGCACACGGAAGAAGACCATCACCCTGAGCATTTTCTGATTTCAAGTACTCTGCTAGGATCGGTCAAACGACCTAACAGAAGCAGTAAAAAGGAAAGAATTAGTTGCGCACGCGAGAGACACCCAGTGAGTGCTTTGTGTCCTTGTTGTATACCAAGAGTCCACAAGAAAACAAGAAACAATAGCAGCAGGGGGGTTGCACAGACAATAAAGGTATACAATGTCCTGGTAACACACACACACACACACACACACACACACACACACACACACAGACTGTACAGCCATATCCAGTCTTCACAAGCAATTCAATAAACAGTGCCTTTTCAACTTTCTTGCCAAGAGAATGGGCAAAGGTCCAGGAAATTAAGAGAGAAAACAGCCTACTCAGTTCTAAGCAATTTCTCCTCTTCTCACCCCATATTCTCAGATACACCTCTGGATCCCCAAGAAAGGGAAAACCCACTGGGTAGGTTCAAAAGGGCTTCACTGGTTGCCCTGTGTACAAGTTGCAAACACGGGACGCCTTTTGTTTAAGTCCCCTTTAATTATGACGTGTGGTCAAGCGCGATTTCAGGAGAGCACAAAGATTAACAGGTGCAAAGAATGTAGTTACTTAGCAACAGGCAGCCACTGCCCCATGGCCAGCCCAGAGCCTCCCCTTTCGATATCAGGAGGGCCCCTCCTCCAATTGCCAGTTTCCATTGTTTTTGCAAAGTTGGATGAAAATGAAGCCGGGTCAGGAAAAGAAATCAGCTGGAGGGCTTCCGAGTCGTTCAGCCAGTCTAGTCCAGTGGATACAGAGACAGACTTGAACCTGCGAGACCTGGGCTTTCAAGTTCGGATTTTTAAAAAATAATAATTAAATCAAAGCATGGCTATGATCAATATACTCCCCGTGGTAGCTATAAATGGAGCATCCATATGTAGGGTATGTGCCCTCTCCATTTCTCCCCACAATGTTTGGAAAGAACAAGAAATGTGAGCTTCCCGGGAGCAACTGGCTAGTAGGATGCTGAACTAAGTGGACTTTCATCTGGTCCAGTCCAGGAAGATTAACTAAGTCCCACCTCTGCCACCGCACCCCCTGTCTATCAGATGAGAACATGGACTGCCTCACTGAGTTATTGAGAAGGTGCAATAAAAGACTGCACATTGCAAATGTTGGGGTTGGGGAGGAGTTATTGGGTTTGGAGAGGGACGGTTCTTGTTTTTATTATGAGTGTTGTGTTTTTATCTTGTATTTTTATACTGTGAACTGTCCTGAGATATATGGATGAAGGGTGGCATAAAAATAAAATATAATATAAAATAAAATAAGTAAATAGAAGGCAGCAGTAATAATTGTCTTGTTCAGTAGCCAATAAGGGCCACAGAGCAACAATTTTCAGAAGTGTTCATCACACTGGTTCAAGGAGGGTGGTTAATCTGGTTCCTTCTGTACAGAGCCTTTCCAGCCACAGCCTTCAGTATTCTTCCATCACACGAGCTTTGCAGGAAGAAATGAAGAATTCACCCTGCGCGCCCGAGAAAGTAATCTAAACATACACCCCCGAGCAAAGGCTACAGGAAGCACAAAACTTGAGTCCTCAGCTTTGATTTCTAGCAATGTGGGGAAACCTTGTGGGAATTTTGCTACAGATACGCACTCTTGAGACTTCACTTGGCAGCAAGTCCACAGAGCTCTTCAGAGGAAATGGGTCGACTTGCTTCCGAGATGTTGCAACGTGAGTGGGGGCTGCCTGCCCAAGTCACCCCATCACACAGAGACACCCTGAAACCTTGGTCTTGGCCAAGTTATTATTGCTACTCGCAAGTTATTATTGCTACTCGCAAGCAGTACCTGGGGTTTTAAGGGTTGCAACACTCCCCATTTCTTTACTGTGAACTTGCACAAAGCTTAATAATCTGTCATCGTTTATTCTGTATTTAGGCACGGGCAATTGACGACCCAAAATCTCCAGCTCTTGAGGCTACTGGGTGTTTTTACAAGCCAAACTATTTGCATTCAGTTCACTACCTTAGATTATCAAATACCGTACTGGCCCGAATATAAGACGTACCCGCAAATAAACCGCATCTTTAAAATTCAAGGCTTATTTGGGGGTGCGGCCCATCTCCCGGCTCTACCGCCCTGACGGGGGGCCGGCGCCAGCTTCCGAGTGTGCTGCACACTCGCCTTCTAACACTACTGCCTCCCAGCACTCCCTCCACAAGCCGGTGTCGGGGGAGGCTTGAGAGCGGCCGGCGGACTGCCACCATCACCCCACACTCTGGGCTGTTTCCTTTGGGGGGGGACATGCCGCCTTCCCGGCAGTGTAAGATTGCAAATATAAGCCGCACTTTAACTTTTCACTGTCAGAATGGGGGGGGGGGGAGTGCGGCTTATATTCGGGCCAATAGGGTATGTTAGTATCTCTAGCTACATGGGGAGGGGACGCGGGTGGCGCTTTGGGTTACACCACAGAGCCTAGGACTTGCCAATCAGAAGGTCAGCGGTACGAATCCCCGCGATGGGGTGAGTTCCCGTTGCTCGGTCCCTGCTCCTGCCAACCTAGCCGCTCAAAAGCACATCAAAGTGCAAGTAGATAAATAGGTACTGCTCCAGCAGGAAGGTAAACGGCGTTTCCGTGTGCTGCTCTGGTTCTCCAGAAGCGGCTTAGTCATGCTGGCCACAGACCCGGAAGCTGTATGCCGGCTCCCTCAGCCAGTAAAGCGAGATGAGCGCCGCAACCCCAGAGTCGTTCGCGACTGGACCTAATGGTCAGGGGTCCCTTTACCTTTAGCTACATGGGAAGTACGTTTTAGTTAAGCAGTCACCATCTTTCAATCTGGCCTGGTGAACAAAATAGGCATATAGCTTGAAAACCTGCACACTCCCGAACAGGACCATTTAAAAACAACACACACATACAAATGCAATTTCATTTCACCTTGTTATAGCTCCCTTGTTCTCTAGATCAACTGTGTCAATATCACATTAAAATCTGCTGTGGGCACATCCCTGCCTAGAGTCCTCCCACCCCCACCCCCAATTAATGAGAGCCAAGGGCACATAGCACTTGAAAAAAGTGCAGTTTTGGCACCCAGGCCTTCAGATTAATGATCAACTTGGGGCCCCCCAATTACCACTGGTAGAACAATGGTTCAGCTTATAAGCTCTGGCAGACGCAGCCCTATCTTATTGGGTACCCACAATGACGGGAGTCTAAACTACTCTTTTCTAGAAATCTCTCCCCCCCCCAAAAAAACCCTCTAGTGCTTCAAAAACCTTACCATATTGTTGACCAAAGGTCACCACACTGTGACCGTGCCCCGACTACTGGCTCTGGGGCTGGCAAAGCCGTTTGACATCCGCAGCCGGAGAGCAAGAGCGCGTCTTAGCAAAACCACTCCAACATCATTATGTGAGGCATGGGAAAAGCCACCATAATAGCAACAGGGCAAGGACACAGAAAACTTCAAGGCCTCACTTTCATGAATAGGCCTTTCAGGAGTCTCTCTTTAGTGAGCTCAGCTATTTCCCCCTCTCTTCTCTCACCCGCCCCCCCCCCCATTTCCCCCCACCTTAACACAGCTACATTAGCAATAACAGAAGCCAAGCCGCTGAGCTTTGCAATCAGGTCCCGGGACTTAAAGAGGATGTTACCTCTGAAGTTTCACAGGCAATGAAACGCAATCCAGAGACCCTAAAGAGATGCAAGACAAATACTTCCACAAAGTGGGTCATCTAACTAGTATCAAACTGTTTTTTTTTAATAATTCCCACCACTGCTCCAGAACAACTCGTGTTTATACACAGGCAAGGTAGTGAGTGGGACGCGGGTGGCGCTGTGGGTTAGGACTTGCTGATCAGAAGATCGGTGGTTCGAATCCCCGCGATGGGGTGAGCTCCCGTTGCTCGGTCCCTGCTCCTGCCAACCTAGCAGTTCGAAAGCACCTCAAAGTGCAAGTAGATAAATAGGTACCCCTCCAGCAGGAAGGTAAACGGCGTTTCCGTGCGCTGCTCTGGTTCGCCAGAAGCGGCTTAGTCATGCTGGTCATATGACCCAGAAGCTGTACGCCGGCTCCCTTGGCCAGTAAAGCGAGATGAGCGCCGCAACCCCAGAGTCGGCCACGACTGGACCTAATGGTCAGGGGTCCCTTTACCTTTAAGGTAGTGAGTGCCCTCTTAAGGAGCAGCGGCTCCCCAAATCACTAGGTCCATCAGGAGAGGGCAGTTTGATTGAGCTGCAAAGTCATCGACACAGCCAACTTCAAATGCTTTACAAAAGGCATGACCAAAGTCCGTTTTGGGGGCCTGATCCGGCCCGCTGGTCGATTTAATCGTGTAGCAGTATATGTCCTGGGGTGAAATCCTAAAAAAAGCCCCACAACTTTGGTTGGCCCTCACGCATGTTCACTTCATCAAATGTGGCCCTCTTTGGAAAAAGTTTGGGCATCCCTGCTTTACAAGCTTAGAGGCAGATTTCGCATCGTAACCAGAGCCTAACTGGTATAAGGGCTCTGAGCAGCACAAACGCCTATGCTTTTTAAAAAATGTGTAATTGATTGTTTTATTTTTTTAATGGTAAGGCAACAGTGCACTTGATCTGTTTAATCAATGAGACTTGGGCTTAACTGTCTCCATTCCAAGCTATTTAATTCCAGTTCGGTCTTTCCTAGTTTTCAGGAGCCATACGGGTAATACCAGAAGAAAACAAATCTCCACTTCACCCACTGCTCTCAGGCTAAGCCACGAGTCCAAACTTTTCTGCTTGTTCTTATCAGCACTACTCGCTTCTCTGTGGCACCCAGGGAAATCCACTGAATTATTCACCAGGAATCTGTCCTGTCCCCATTGCCCATGACCATGTTTGTGAGCTCTGCAGAATGGAACAACTCCCTTCCCCCAGGGATTCACCCTCGTCCTCAGTTTGATAATGGAATGGCTACACCACGGAATAATCCAAATTCTAGCTCACCGGCAATAGGGCACCGCATGGACAAGTCTCTCTTTTGGAGAGGTTTCCTGACTTAAGTGACCTCGCTAACACGCCCCCAACAAGCTTCCAAATCGTTCCTTGGAAGAAGCCCGACCACCACTTGCTTAGAGAAGTAAACATCAAGGGATGGATCTACAGACAGCTTCTGGCCCCAGTAAATGCAAACAGAAAATGGCAGGCGTTCTTTACATCTCTCCTTACATCTTGCATGTGAGCCTCTCAAAGTCATCATCTGCCAACAAGTCGGTGAGTGGTTAGAGCCGGCATGTTAATTCTTAATGCATAAGAATAAAACAGGGTAAAAATACTGCGTGGTCAAGCCAGCTTTCAACCCATCCACTAGAAAGAATATTAGGATATTAGTGGTCATGTATTTTGAGTCCAATCTGCAATTACTTGTTATTATGATGATTATTGTTATTTATTAAATTTGTATACTGCCTTTCATCTGTAGATATCAGGGTGGTTCACAGCAAACATCGTTCAACTTGAGCTGTGCAACTCTTTTGGTGAGTAACGGCTTAGCTAGGGACCCTTCAATTCCAACTGGTTTACAAAACCCCCACAAAAAACCAACAGATTTCATATCTCTGAAATCTGCTTAATGCATTAATTGCACTAACTCAATTCTTGCTTTCAGCTCTACTGGTTAATTAAGTTGAATCCACACAAACAAGCCCTTATTATAAGACAGACCAGAATGAAAAGCTTGCTAAGGCCTTGTCTTGCAAGCTGTTCTAAGCCAATTCATATTAGGCAGCTCCAGCACCACATAACCATTTTAATGATATTATAAGTAGATGCAGCACTCTTTCAAGTCTGTGTTACAAGACTAAGCTTCAATGGGCTCTGCAATCAAACTGACAAAGCAACAATGAGACAGTGAATTTAAAATCAAAGCCCTGTGCCTTCCACACAAGCAAGGAACTCAGCACAGCCTAGTAAGTTTATTTCTGAAAGCAACAAGGTAAGATCTTGGAAAGCTATCGTTTATGCACAGCGGATATCACATAAGCAATTAATCAACATGCTCAGGCAACTCATTAATTGCAGATTAAAAATATGAATTTTTAATCACAGCTGTCCCTCTGTGAAATGGTGTTCAATGCTTATGATATTGTTGTAAACAACGACTCAGATAATACAGTTAAGATTTGCCACGTTATATGTGATTTGCCTGCGTCTGGCCAAGAAAAAATGGATTTAAATGACTTAAATTAAAACCACCAAAACAAATCCTTACTTGGGCTGTTCCATGAAACAAACTATAAGCTTTTAAAATTGCCTGGTATATATAACCTATGAAAATTGCAGTTCATTTAAACATCGGTATTTTCAAAATGAGATATGGAGGCTCCAGTGTTTATGGAAGGTATTCATAACCAGCATTCTGAATACTTTGGGGTTTTCTGCAGCTACAGAGTGACATGGTTATTTTCCTGGATAAAATAAAAATAAAGACTGGATTGCAAAGTGTGACTCACTCAAAACTGTGAGTTAAGAGGGGTATCTGGTGTCACCACAATCAACTACAGCACCACACAAGGGTGGGAGGTGGGGGGAATCTGAACATTAATTCTGAACACCTCAACTGTGACGAAGCCTTCAAAGGATGTTTCACACATATGACTCCCCCCCCCCAATCTTTCCTTTCCCCAGCTTTGCATCTGTTCATAAAAGGAGACCCAACACAACAAGAAGCTTTCCACCAAGTTTCTAACTTTGCATTCTGAATCAGGAGATTTCCAGAGCTGACTACCCTATAACAACCAGGATAAGTTATTTTTTCAGTAAACTGCTTCCTGTTCCATGGCTTCTTTGTTCATCCGAAAACTTCAGCATAACACTGCCTTTGAAGCCAGACAGTTTGTTTGCTTTAAATGCCATGGATGTACCCTGAGAGCTTTGAAAGCCAAAACGAATCGAAGCCTGTACATACCGAAGACCTTGTTGTCTGGGCAGGAATTTAACAGCTGTTAAATGCAGGGGCTATGCAGGTATGGGATTTGGGGGGGGGGGTATTTTATATTCATCCTATGTATAATCCAGCATGGGTTAAAAATTAATATGCAAAAAAGATTTCGCTTCATTTAATATGGGTCCCAATTTTAGTGTCAGAGACTGGGACCAGCGAGATCTGGCATGGGTTGGTCACCATCTTTCAGCTTAATCTATCTCCGTATGCAAGGATAAGATTAGGAAGATCTTGTATGCCTTGAGCAACTTGGAGGAAAGGGAAGAGATGAATATAACAAACCTGCAACAGCAACCAGTGTTCATGCTAGAGCCTAGCCTAGGTTCTCACCAGGGCAATAAACGTGCGCCTGGCTTGCATTTCGTACCATTTCAGATGGAGACTCGCGTGACTCAACGACTCTCCGTTCAAGAGATTCCCTTCACAAAGAAACGAGCATATCAGGTAAAAGAATTTTAGTCTACCTTCGCCCCCCAAACAGTAGTTTTCTATGTGAAGGGGTTTTTGTTTGTACTGAGCAGCATCAAACCATTTCTGGTCTGAAATATACCACTCAGACACATATTTAGCACCTCACAGAGAACGAGGCCTCACTGTATTAGAGAACTGTGAAGTTCAGATATGACAGAGCCATCCACCCCACCCAAAATATTTCACACACGCTTCCTTAGAAATCTAAGTCCCCTGAAGGGGGAAGGGAGCTCCCTCTGCTCCTAACTGATCGAGATACTTCCAAGCAGAGAAGCAATGGATTAGGCTGCACAACCACAAACCGTGTTTTAAGTATATATTATAGTTAATCCAAGGGATGCGGGTGGCGCTGTGGGTAAAACCTCAGCGCCTAGGACTTGCCGATCGCATGGTCGGCGGTTCGAATCCCCGCGGCGGGGTGCGCTCCCGTCGTTCGGTCCCAGCGCCTGCCAACCTAGCAGTTCGAAAGCACCCCCGGGTGCAAGTAGATAAATAGGGACCGCTTACCAGCAGGAAGGTAAACGGCGTTCCGTGTGCTGCGCTGGCTCGCCAGATGCAGCTTGTCACGCTGGCCACGTGACCCGGAAGTGTCTGCGGACAGCGCTGGCTCCCGGCCTATAGAGTGAGATGAGCGCACAACCCTAGAGTCTGGCAAGACTGGCCCGAACGGGCAGGGGTACCTTTACCTCTATAGTTAATCCAACACGCTGACCTGCCACAAGTGTATAAATGCCAAGTGAAATTAGTACCAACGTTTTAGATTACAGGAAAAGGCAGCTAAAATACTTGCCCAAGCTTATCAAGCAAGTCTGTGGTATACACAAAGTCTGAATCCAGGTTTGTCTAGTCCACCCAAGCTCAACACAAGCACACAATTTATGGAGTGTCGTGTTTCCTGTGTTCTCTTTTCAAGGCTGTAGGTATTTTTTTCTGGACACAGTGCTGATGTTGGGGAAGCTGCAGCAAAGGATCTGAGGGAATTCTGCTGGAATTGGAGATGCCACAGGTGTATCAGACATAAGACAGATTTCATGGCAGAAAGACCTCTAGTTGCAGTTTGGTATTCAATATTAACTACAGTGGTACCTCGGGTTAAGAACTTAATTCGTTCTGGAGGTCTGTTCTTAACCTGAAACTGTTCTTAACCTGAAGCACCAGTTTAGCTAATGGGGCCTCCTGCTGCCGCTGCGCCGCCGCTGCACGATTTCTGTTCTCATCCTGACACAAAGTTCTTAACCTGAGGTACTATTTCTGGGTTAGTGGAGTCCGTAACCTGAAGCGTCTGTAACCCAAAGCGTCTGTAACCCGAGGTACCACTGTACCAATAATTTATACAGCCTTTTGGATTCACTGCTAGTAATTTATTCAATCTTTTAGATTCCCAGAGCACATTTCAACCTTTTAACCATTTGCCCTTGCAAAAACTGTGTGTTCGCTCTCGCCCGTTTTATGGAGGGGGTTACCAAGACCAAGAAACTGTCTCGTCCAAAACTACCCCAGAGATGAGACATGAGCCTCCAGCTCCCATAATCCACATCCAATCTCTCTATTCATAGGCTTTGACATGGCCACTCTTCTGGAATTTGGTTCTCTATAGCCAACGCAGCATAATTCTGCAAGCAGCGATACATTCCCAGCTGCCAATGTGAGCTCCCCCACCCCCCCATTTCCATATCCAAGGCCAGTTCAAGAGTGTGGAGTTACTTCCACACCTCTCCATTTCATCACATGTGGCACGGCTTCTTTGCCACAGAAGTGCTAGCCCTATTCTGAGGCAGGCTTAGCATCACGCTAGGTGCCCCATTTTCAAGCTCGCAAAAACAAATCCAGAACCTTGCACCACCTTTCCATTAGTTGTGGAACTCTCTGACCGTTTTGATTCCTCTGCAAGTGACCAAGTCAATGAGGCCCAATATATATATACAGTGGTACCTCAGGTTACAGATGCTTTGGGCTACAGACACTTCAGGTTACGGACTCCACTAACCCAGAAATAGTACCTCGGGTTAAGAACTTTGCTTCAGGATAAGAACAGAAATCGTGCTCTGGCGGTGCGGCGGCAGCAGGAGGCCCCATTAGCTAAAGTGGTGCTTCAGGTTAAGAACAGTTCCAGGTTAAGACCAGACCTCCGGAACGAATTAAGTTCTTAAACCGAGGTACCACTGTACAATATATATTTAAAGACCAGCCTGAGCCCCCAGGAGAAGGGCAAAAACAAACTAAATAAACCGTATCGTGGTGCTGGTTCAGACTGGGGAAGTTAAAGGCACACTACTCCTGTGACCCAGAGGTATTTTAGATTGTTAAGAGTAAACTGATGAACTGTCATTCAGCCCAAACTTTAGACTGCCTCAAAAATCATTGCAAGCCTGGGGGGGGCGGTGGAGAAACCAAACCCTGTCCCACCCCTGGCAGCCAGTCATGTCCCTCGGATTAACATGAGTTTGGATTAACCGCGACCTCCTTTTGCTTGCAGGACACTTTTCTTCCTTTCCTGCGCCAAGCAACCCCTTGACCCGGCACAGATTGTCCCGCTCTCTCCTCTCCAAAGCCTTCCAGCCCAGGCCTCCCCCTTCCCAGCCCCCACGCTCCTGAATATAAACACACTCTTGTCACACACTCCATCAGCTGTTTGGGTTGCTCCGCCCAAGCCTCAGTTTCCGGGTAGTAACAGAACAGCCAATCGGCTGACTCGCAGGCTCTGTCCGGAGGCCTTTTGCCTGCAAACACTTTTCCAAAACAAGCAGTCCCTGGGTTCTTTCGGAGCAAGAAGGGAAGCTAAGAACCATAAAAAAATTAATAAAGGGGGTGCTAGAAAGAGGAGAGAGGCATTCCTCCAGATTTGGAACTTTAAAAGATCACACACTAAGGTCATTGATGCCAGTTCTTGGAGATTTATGAAAGGCACCCTAGCCAGGACTAGAAAGGTGTTGAGAGTTGTCGTTGTTTTTTATATTAAAAACCCCCAACACATTCTATTAGTAACTCTGCAATGCAAGAAAGGAACTCAACAACAAGTCAGCAAAGACAAAAAAAAAAAAAAAAGGCTGGAGCTGCGATTCCCCCCCCAAGGTTGAAATGCAACACACACAAGCTTCTCATTTCTTTCAAAGGTTTGCACAATGTTTAGAGAAGCGTCCAAAAAAGCAACCGAGTGACTCAGAGTTTCAGATCACCGTCATGCAATTACCAAGAGGAGGTTCATTTCTTTTTAGCTAGGCATGCTAACAACTCACCCATGTAATACAGGACATTGGCCAACCAACCTCTCCCTCTCTGGGTTGCACAGATGTGAGTACACAAGGCCAAAACAGGGGTGGGGGAATGATAGCAGCACCAGCACCCCACCAAACCTGTCAGAGCAGTTAAGTCGACAGCTCCAGACACTTTCTGTGGGGCCATGCCTTCGCTCCCCACCCTATATCCCCAAGTTAGTCAGAGGCTGCAAATCAAGATGAGAGGCAAAGAGGTACCGGTACTTTGAAAGCAGGAGAGGCAGTCCTACAAGTAGCAGCAGCATACAAGGGACACAAGTTGAGGAAAGAGGCATCTACTGGAAGCCACAGAAGGTGCGCTGGGCTCCCTCCGCCTCCAGATTCCAGTGAGCAAACTTCATACATAAATTAAGGCTGCTCTCCTAAGCACAAAATGACTTGGGAGTAACCCCCCCCCATGAAAGCAACACGACTTCCAAGTAAACAGTGAGGACTAGGCTGGGTCACAGTTGCTGTGGCCTGCATACCCAAAACACTGACTGTACACATGCCAAAGGAAAGCCACAGGAAACAAAAAGACCTATTTGTTCATCACACTCACAGGACAAACTGGTCCACATCACTTAAAATACCAGGAATGATAATAAGAACTCTGGTTTGAGGCCTTTTTTTAGCTGTTTAGTTTGTTTCTTTTGTCAAACAGAAGGATCGGCAGCTAACCATGAACCGGAGAGGAATGCCAGGCTATTCGCTTTTCTCCTATCCACCATCAAATTAAACAGCAACCACAGCACCAATAAGCCAGATGAAGTCATTTTTTAGAAAAAGAGAGAAAAACAACCCCTGCTCTTTGTCTCCTAAAATGCTATGATCTTTCAACATGCCAGCTACCAAGTGAACAGAAAGTGGGGGTGGGGGAGGCAAAAAAGAAAAGGATACACTACCAGGAGGTCACAGTGGGCCTCATCGCTCCATAATCCGGCTGCCTTTTCAAAATTTATATATAATGAGAATCTCTCCTTTTTTTTGTCACTGAACAGCTGGAGTTCTATCTAGCTTCCCCTCAAACCAGTAAAAATTAACCATCGAATGAAGTTTGTATCCGAGGAACGATATGTCATGCATATGCAACTGAAGCAGAGGATAAAAATAGCTTTGATTCCATAGCAATCACATGCCACTTCCTATTTATTAAAAACAACATTTTTAAAGGGGGAATCTATAGACAGTTATCAAACACAGGCTTTGTGCTTTTAAAAATGTACAGACAGTTAAGCAAGAGACCGGGGAACTCACTGTGCAGCGTCAACAATTGACTATAATAATTTCACCCCAGCAGGCCTAATCTAAACAAGTTTGTTTATCTCTGGAAACTAAATGCTATTTGTAACCCTCTCACCCTTCTACATAGTTAATTCCTTCCCGATTAAATTCTCCTGGGGGAGGTTAACACATTCAATAAACATATCTGAATGCATTTCAGTTGGCTATGTCAACGCCAACCCATCTTTCCTTCCCTCCCCACCACCTGATAAACAGAACTATTAATAAACCTATTCTATACGCAAATTCACTGCACTATTTCAGAAGCTTCACAATCTTCAAATATGCACACAGGGACAAGGTAACATTCTACTGAGAGGCAAGAACAAAACATAATTTGGAAAACAAAAACAGATCCTTTACGAAGGGATAAAGGAAAATCTTCACTGAACTGAAGTGTTACATAAACAAAACCAGCAGCACAAAAAAGAAAAATGGGTGATGGATTTCTACGGCATTTCGATTCTTTTTCTCCACTATTACTACTTCAATGTTGTTCTCCAGGTGCTCCCACCCGCACTAACTGCCCCCCCCCAGCTGCCATCAGAAGCTTCCCGAACAGCAGACTAAAACTGGATTGAGTAAATAGTAACACACCACCAGAAGCTGATCACTGGATTGCTAACTGTCAACAACTACCCTCCCTTCTCCCCCCAGCTAAATCTGGCCCATTGCCCCCCACCCCACAAAGCATGTATTAATTCTGGTTGGGGAGGGGGAAAGAGAGCACATCTGAATCAGTGTGTGTAGAGGGAGTTGTATTATTATTCAAGCATTGTCACAATACCTGAAAGGGGGAGCACTGACTCTGGTCACAATCATTAGTGAGGCAGACAGAGAATAAGTGCTTCCCCCCCCCACTGCCTATATTGTTTCCCTACGAAAATATTTTGGGATTCCTCTCCCAAGACAAAGGGGATTTATTTATTGAAGGCAACAAGGAGTTCTGATCACCCCAAGAGAGTCTGGCTTTAGACACAGGCCTCTACAGACCAGAGAGCAGCCCACCCCCCCAATCCGCCAAAAGAACCAGTTTCTTTGGGGAGAGAGAAGAAAGAACGGATTTGAAGAGGTCTATATTTGGGGGCAAGGAAGAGGGGGTAGGAAATGAGTTCCTGAACCCCCCATAAAAAAATACTAGAATGAAAAGTCCCCAATTGTGTTCTCATTTCTCAAAAGGGGGGTGTCTAAAGGCCTCATTTTACCTAAAAATGAGATATCCCTTCAATGGTATGATGGCGTTGTTGGGGTTTTTGGGGGGAGGGAAGAAAATATTTTGCTCTGCCTATACCTGGGGTGCCTCATCTCTCTCCTCCCCCCATTTCCTAGAGCCCAACAAGAACAAAAAAAATCACCTGGAGCTGCTAAAATTTACTACTCTCCAGGAGTTGCAAGTCTCTTCCCCTACGCTAAGATTATTGGGGTGCCCTCACTCTCCAACCCTATTCTAAACATTTTACTCTGGAGAAGGCTGCTTTCTTCTAATGGTGGTGGTGGGAATAATTCTATTCTCCTGCTGGTGAAAAGGAGAGGGAAGGGCTTTTCCTCCTGAACCCCCATATTCCAGGAAAGCCTTTGTACACTCCTCATTTCTAAGGGGTCCGTGATTCTGCACCCCTCACCTGGAACTGGAGGCAGAGAAAGGGAGAGAAAGAAAGAAGAACAGAAACAATAACCGTTCATCTATTCTCTGCAATGGAATAGGCATTCATCTTCAGCAAGTGGAGGGCACTGCCCCCCACCCACCCCCCAAAAGTACCTGCTTTCTCCCCATCATTCCTTGGCCTTGTGGAGGAAGGAAACCTATTCTCTAGACCCCCACCCACCAATATGAAGTTCTATTGAAGACACCCAGTCCAGTTTTTTTGAGGGGGGCCCCTGTCTCTTCCTGCCCCCCCCCCACCATTCCAACAAAGTCTTCATTTATCTCCTTATTCCTGCCTCTCACTAACTGCCCCTCAAGTGTGTGTGTGGTGGGGGGGGATGTCTGTGCCTTGCTCCCCAAGACATTCCAGAATGGGGGGCTGCCCCCCATTTTACCTGCCCTTGCCGCCCCCCCTCACAACCCCCCCCCCACTCTCCAGGTAAGGATACAGCTTGACCACGTCGGTGTCCATCCGCCTCTTGCCCGGGCTGGGGGAGGACATGGTGGCCCCCCGGCCGGCGGCCCCTCCCGGGCGGAGTCTGGAGCTGCCTCTCTTGTCCTGTCAGGACCCCTTTTCCGCTGGGGGAGGTGGGGGGGCGCTTCAGGAGGTGGGGGTCCGAGCCCCGCTCTGCGCCTGCGCGGAGGCCTCTCCCCCCCCCCCGCCGCCCGAGCCCTTTTCGCCTCCGCGGCCCCTCCCTTCACGAGCCGGCTCTTCCTGCCCCGCGGGCTTCCCCCCTCCTCCGCGCCTCTCCTCAGCCTCAGCTTCCTGACCCCCCTCACAGCTTCCTGCGCCCTCCCGCTCCCGGATTGCTGCTCCTGCTCCGGCCGCTGCCTCGGCTCTGCCGAAGCCTCTCTCTGGACCCCTGACGTCACCCACAGTGACCTCACCGAACAGCCCGCTCCGGATTGGACGCGGCCCCGCGTGACGCGAAGAGACGCGCCGGGCCCCGCCCCGCAAGCCCGCCTCCCTCGCCGCTCGGCATGCCGGGAGGTGTAGTCCGCCGGGCCTGAGGCGAAGTCGGGCAGCTGAGGCGAAGGAGAAGCTGCCCGCCGCGTTATTAGGCCCGCCGACTGGTTCGGCCGGTCGAGGGTTCGAGCCCCCGCTTCCCAACCCAGGGCCTGGCTTTTTAAATTAAGCCCACATAACCATTTCTCCCGGCGGAGGTTCATGTCTGAATACGGGTCTCTGGGCACCAAGGCTCGGCCCTGGATGTGAGGGCATCTGAGCATGTGCAGAGCACTTTGCAGGGTGGCACTCCAGAAATGGCAGGCTTGAGGCCCGGAGCCTGTTTTCATTAACTGAGAGCCAGTGGTGGTGCGGTGGTTGGAGTGAGCGACTAGGACCTGGGAGAGGTCTGGGTTCGAATCCCCACCACTAGGCCGTGAAGCTGATGGATGGTCACAGCCTCCTAGCCTGACCTATCGCACAGGGTTGTCGTGCTCTACCAACTGAGCCAGGCAGAGGCAGATCCCATGATCCCTGCTAACAGGACCAGTGGTCAGGCATGATGGGAGGCGCAGGTCAATTCTGTGTTCAGGGCGGCTGTCTACCAGCTCCATCTGGTACGCAGGATGAGAGCCTCCCTGCCCGTGGACTGTCTGGCCAGAGTGGTGCATGCTCTGGTTATCTCTCTCTTTTTTTTTTTTAAATGATATTTATTAAAGTTTCCAAAAAAAAAATACAAAAAATACAGAATACAGAAAGAAAAAGAATAAAGTTTTTGTTTTTTTAAATATAACCAAAGAAGTAAAAAATAAAAAAAAACCATACCAAATAAAACAATTAAAAGGACATTAAATTTCCATAACCTATCTTCCTTGTACTTATTTCCCTGGACCTCCTCATACCTCCCTTTTTGTATTCCAGTTCAATTTGTTGATTCAGCAAATCCTTACCATTGAAATTACCCAGTTGCAAACCTTTTTTCATATCTCTTACAGCATTACAGCTAAAAAAAACCCCTTAATTTCTATCCAACATCCTTCTAAGATTCCTTAATTTTACAATATTTCTGTAAATAGTCTTTAAATTTCTTCCAGTCTTCTTTCACCGTCTCTTCTCTCTGGTCTCGGATTCTGCCAGTCATTTCCGCCAGTTCCATGTAGTCAATCAAGGTTATCTCTCACTTGGACTACTGCAATGCGCTCTATGTGGGGCTACCTTTGAAGTTGACCTGGAAACTACAACTAATCCAGAATGCGGCAGCTAGACTGGTGACTGGGAGCGGCCGCCGAGACCACATAACACTGGTCTTGAAAGACCTACATTGGCTCCCAGTACATTTCCGAGCACAATTCAAAGTGTTGGTGCTGACCTTTCAAGCCCTAAACGGCCTCAGTCCAGTAGACCTGAAAGAGCGGTGAAGGTCCTGTGTGAGCATCTAAAGGCTGTTGGAGGATGGATGGCGGCTAACAGATTGAGGCTGAATCCTGACAAGACAGAAGTACTGTTTTGGGGGGGACAGGGGGCGGGCAGGTATGGAGGACTCCCTGGTCCTGAATGGGGTAACTGTGCCCCTGAAGGACCAGGTGCGAAGCCTGGGAGTCATTTTGGACTCACAGCTGTCCATGGAGGGGCAGGTCAACTCTGTGCCCAGGGCAGCTGTTTATCAGCTCCATCTGGTATGCAGAATGAGACCCTCCCTGCCCGCGGACTGTCTCGCCAGAGTGGTGCATGCTCTGGTTATCTCCCCCTTGGACTACTGCAATGTGCTCTATGTGGGGCTACCTTTGAAGTTGACCCGGAAACTGCAATTAATCCAGAATGCGGCAGCTAGACTGGGGACTGGGAGCGGCCGCCGAGACCACATAACACCGGTCCTGAAAGATCTACATTGGCTCCCAGTACATTTCCAAGCACAATTCAAAGTGTTGGTGCTGACCTTGAAAGCCCTAAACGGCCTCGGCCCAGTAGACTTGAAAGAGCGGTGAAGGTCCTGTGTGAGCATTTAAGGCTGTTGGAGGATGGATGGCGGCTAACAGATTGAGGTTGAATCCTGACAAGACAGAAGTACTGTTTTAGGGGAACAGGGGGCAGGTGGGTGTGGAAGACTCCCTGGTCCTGAAGGACCAGGTGCGCAGCCTGGGAGTCATTTTGGACTCACAGCTGTCCATGGAGGCGCAGGTTAATTCTGTGTCCAGGGCAGCTGTTTATCAGCTCCATCTGGTATGCAGGATGAGACCTTACCTGCCCGGAGACCATCTGGCCAGAGTGGTGCATGCTCTGGTTATCTCCCCCTTGGAGTACTGCAATGCGCTCTACGTGGGGCTACCTTTGAAGGTGACCCAGAAACTACAACTAATTCAAAATGCAGCAGCTAGACTGGTGACTGGGAGCGGCCGCCGAGACCACATACCAGTCTTGAAAGACCTACATTAGCTCCCAGTACGTTTCCGAGCACAATTCAAAGTGTTGGTGCTGACCTTGAAAGCCCTAAACGGTCCAGTATATCTGAAGGAGTGTCTCCACCCGCATCGTTCTGCCTGGACACTGAGGTCCAGTGCCAAGGGCCTTCTGGCGGTTCCGTCGCTGAGAGAAGCCAAGTTACGGAACCAGGCAGAGGGCCTTCTCGGTGGTGGCACCTGTCCTGTGGAACACCCTCCCACCAGATGTCAAAGAGAACAACAACTACCAGACTTTTAGAAGACATCTGAAGGCAGCCCTCTTTAGGGAAGCTTTTAATGTTTGATAGACTACTGTATTTTAATATTCTGTTGGAAGCCGCCCAGAGTGGCTGGGGAAACCCAGCCAGATGGGCAGGATATAAATAATAAATTCTATTCTATGGGAATCGTAGTCCCAAAACATCTGGAGGGCCGAGTGTGCCTATGCCTGAACTAAGCCCTCACAAGACTCTTTTAATATCTCATGGTCGTGGGTTCGAGTTCCATGCTGGTAAAAAGTTTCCTGCATGGCAGGGGGGTTGGACTAGATGACCCTCAGGACCTTTTTCAACTATGATTCTAGGAGAGAGAGGGAGAACTATGAACCCCACCTTGAGTTCCTTGGAGGAAAAGGCAGTGATATAAAGCAGTAAATGAATAAATAGAAGAATGATCTAATTCCTTTCTACATCTCCTGATTGATTGGCAAAAAGAGGGTCACTGAGCACATGTCGTCCGTCCCCGAACCTGGGTCTAGGATAAGAAAGTAGAGTTTCCTTCTTTTTCTGAAGGTCTTATTTTGGAAAACTAGGCCTCTTCCAAGTGTGCTTCAAATTCATTGGAGGCGAGTCAGTGAAATAAAGTATTACTCTTATTTATTAAACTTGTATACCACCCTTCATCCAAAGATCCGAGGGGCTCATAACAGAAAAATGCAAAATGAGAATACAAAATACATAATGCAAAAGCAAACCAATAACACACACACACACACACGGCCTCCTACAAACACATTTAAAAAGCATAAAATAAATACTATATCAGTTTGGGAAGAACTGCTACTGACTCAGAGCAGAAAGCAAAGTCTTAAATGCATTGCTTTAAAGTTGCGATTTTAAGAGACCCTTTGGATGAGTTGAGGTTGCAGCCTGGCCATTTGAGGTCCAGGGCCAGCTGCCCAACCTAAATACCGGTAAAAGTAAGCTACTGCTATCATAACACTGATCAGCTGTTGGGCAGGAGCGGGGATGGAATCATAGAATTGTAAAGTGGGAAGGGATCCCCAAGGGTCATCTAGTCCAGCCCCCTGCAACACAGGAATCAGCAGCTGGAGAATCCATGACTGATGACCATCCAACCTCTGCTCAGAAACCTCCAACCAAGGAGAGTCCACCTTCTGAGGGACCCAGCCCTGCTGTCAAACAGCTCTTACCATCAGGAAGGTGAGTGTGAATTTCCTTGTAATTTGAATCCATCGGTTCGAGTCCTCCCTTCTGGAACAGCAGAAAACAGGGCCACTCCAAGTGGAAATGTGGCAGCCCTTCTGGTGGGAATAACTCTTGGAAACTGAGTTTGGGACCCCTACCCTTTATCCCTAACATTTGTTATTGTTTTTCCCCAAAAAATTATTGGTTTTCTCTTATAACACATAGACATAAACACAAAAGAAAAACATTACACTTAACGCAACATAAAAACATAACAACAATAAAAACAAAAAAATAAAAGAATTCTTTCTTCTTGTTTCCTGGTGTATTTACATTGCTAAAAGACTTCCTCGACACCCTCCAATCTGAATTTCATCATATCACATATTTAGCAGTTCCCAATTTCATATTTATAACACCAATATATTTTTTTCAAATACAAATTTCTTATCTTTACTTCCTGTTGTAATCCATAATGTTCACTATTATTAATCGTTTTCTATCCTTCAGCCTAATCTGTTACTTCTAGGAATTTCTTAATATCTTATATTACAATATCTAGCTAAATATTCTTTAAATTTCTTCCAATCTTCTTGTGTTTCCTCCTCTTTCTGATCGCAGATTCTTCCAGTCAGGTCAGCCAGCTCCAAAATGTTTATCCCTAACATTTGACCAAGCTGTAACTCAGGAGACCGCTTCCCTTTCTAGAATCCCACATTTTCTTTTACTGAGAGGATAGATCAGGGCGTTAAGAACAGGGCCTTCTCGGTGGTTGCCCCATAGCTAGGGAACTGGAAGAAGTTTGGTGATGTTTCTCTTCATTAGCCTTCTGAAGGCAATAAGGCTCTCCTTTTGAAACCCAGCTTCAGGCGCTAAGGATAACTTGCCGGCCTCTTCTT